CTGAGGAGCTGAGGGAGATGAAGCGCCAGAAAAGATGCCTAGAGAGCAGTTGGAGGGCTAGTCGTTCTGAATCCGACCGGACACTGGTAAGATCATTGGCCCCCACGGAGAGGGCGCGCAACTTGGGCGTCCTTCTGGATTCACGGCTGTCTTTAGAAGAGCACTTGACGGCCGTGACCGGGAGGATTTTTCATCAGGTTTGCCTGATTCGCCAGTTGCGTCCCTTTCTGGATTGGGACTCGTTACGCACGGTCACTCATGCCCTTGTCACCTCCCGCCTGGACTATTGCAACGCTCTCTACATGGGGCTCCCCTTGAGGAGCACCCGGAGGCTCCAACTGGCGCAGAGTGCGGCCGCGCGGGTGGTAATGGGAACGACATGGCGTTCCCATGTAACACCTCTCCTGCGCGAGCTGCACTGGCTCCCGGTGGTCTTCCGGGTGCGCTTCAAGGTTTTGGTTACCACCTTTAAAGCGCTCCATGGCTTAGGACCTGGGTACTTGCGGGACCGCCTACTACCAAGCACAGAGACGGCATTGGTCGCATTGGTTGATGATCTCTGGAGGGCTCGGGACAGGTGTTGCTTCTCTGTCCTGGTCCTATTAGACCTCTCAGCGGCTTTTGATACCATCGACCATGGTATCATGCTGCACCAGTTGGAAGGGTTGGGGGTGGGGGGCACTGTTTTACAGTGGTTCTCCTCCTTTCTCTCCACCGGTCGCAGTCTGTGTTGACAGGGGGGCAGAGGTCGACCCCGAGGCCCCTTGTATGTGCGGTGCCGCAAAGATCGGTCCTCTCGCCCCTTCTGTTCAATATTTATGTGAAGCCGCTGGGCAAGATCATCCGTGGTTTTGGGGTGAAGTACCATCAGTACGCTGATGACACCCAGCTGTACATCTCCACCCTAGATCACCCCAATGATGCCCTTGAGGTGATGTCCCGGTGCCTGGAGGCCGTACGGATCTGGATGGGGAGGAACAGACTCAGACTCAACCCATCCAAGACCGAGTGGCTGTGGTTTCCGACGTCCCGATATAGTCAGTTGGCGCCATCACTGACTATTGGGGGCGAGTCGTTGGCCCCCACAGATGGGGTTCGCAACTTGGGCGTCCTCCTGGATTCACGGCTGTCTTTAGAAGAGCATATGGCGGCCGTGGCCAGGAGGACTTTTTATCAGGTTCGCCTGATTCGCCAGTTGTGTCCCTTTCTGGATTGGGACTCGTTACGCACGGTCACTCACGCCCTTGTCACCTCACGCCTGGACTATTGCAATGCTTTCTACATGGGGTTCCCCTTGAGGAGCACCCGGAGGCTCCAACTGGTCCAGAATGCGGCCACGCGGGTGGTGACGGGAGCGACGTGGCGCTCCCATGTGACCCCCCTCCTGCACGAGCTGCACTGGCTCCCAGTGGTCTTCTGGGTGCGCTTCAAGGTTTTGGTTACCACCTTTAAAGCGCTCCATGGCTTAGGACCTGGTTACTTACGGGACCGTGCACTCTGCGCCAGTTGGAGCATCCGGGTGCACCTCAAGGGGAGCCCCATGTAGAGAGTGTTACAATAGTCCAGACGAGAGGTGACGAGGGCATGAGTGACTGTGCGTAAGGAGTCCTGATCTAGAAAGGGACGCAACTGGCGAATCAGGCGAACCTGATGAAAAATCCTCCCGGTCATGGCCGTCAAGTGCTCTTCTAAAGACAGCCGTGAATCCAGGAGGATGCCCAAGTTATGAGCCCTTTCCGTGGGGGCCAATGATTCGCCCCCAATAGCCAGCGATGGCGCCAGCTGACTATATCGGGACGTCGGAAACCACAGCCACTCGGTCTTGGATGGGTTGAGCCTGAGCCCGTTTCTCCCCATCCAGATCCATACGGCCTCCAGGCACTGGGACATCACTTCAAGGGCATCGTTGGGGTGGTCCGGGGTGGAGATGTACAGCTGGGTGTCGTCAGCGTACAGATGGTACTTCACCCCGAAACCACGGATGATCTCGCCCAGCGGCTTTACATAAATGTTGAACAAAAGGGGCGAGAGAACTGATCCCTGCGGCACCCCACATATAAGGGGCTTCGGGGTCGATCTCTGCCCCCCTGTCAACACAGACTGTGACCGGTCAGAGAGAAAGGAGGAGAACCACCATAAAACGGTGCCTCCCACCCCCAACCCTTCCAGCCGGTGCAGCATGATACCATGGTCGATGGTATCAAAAGCCGCTGAGAGGTCTAACAGGACCAGGACAGAGGAACAACCCCTGTCCCGAGCCCTCCAGAGATCATCAACCAACGCGACCAATGCCGTTTCCGTGCTGTACCCAGGCCTGAAGCCCGACTGGAATGGATCTAGATACGACGCTTCATCCAGGTACTGGGGAAGCTGTCGCGCAACCACACTCTCAACAACCTTCGCAACGAAGCAAAGGTTGGAGACTGGATGATAATTAGCCAATACTGCCGGGTCCAGGGAAGGCTTCTTGAGGAGGGGCCTTACCACCGCCTCTTTCAGGGCGGCGGGGAAGACACCCTCACCCAACGAAGCATTTATAATCCCCTGGAGCCAGCCTCGCGTCACCTCCCGGGAAGCCAGCACTAACCAGGAGGGGCACGGGTCCAACAAACATGTGGTCGCGTTCAATCTACCCAGAATCCTTTCTACATCATTTGGGGTCACAGGATCAAACTCATCCCAGATAACAGTCTCAAGACCTGCCTCCGTCACCCTCGCTGGATCTATCCAGTCAGAGTCCAGACCTGCCCGAATCTGAGTGATTTTGTCATGCAGATACTGAACAAAATCCTCAGCTCTTCCCTACAAGGGGTCCTCCTGCGCTTCCTGGTGGAGCAGGGAGCGGGTCACCCTAAACAGGGCGGCCGGGCGATTATCTGATGACGCAATAAGAGCAGTAAAATGGGTACATTTTGCTGCTTTTATCGCCACTAGGTAACTCCTAATATGAGATCTTACCAGTGTTCGGTCAGATTCAGAAAGACTAGCCCTCCAACAGCTCTCTAGGCGTCTTTTCCGGCGCTTCATCTCCCTCAGCTCCTCGGTAAACCAAGGAGCCAGGCGAGATCGGCGCCAGGTCAGAGGCCGCAAAGGCACGACTCGGTCCAGGGCTCCAGCAGCCGCCCTATCCCAGGCGGCCACTAGGTCCCCAGATGAGGCGTGAGCCAGAACCTCCGGGATTGGCCCAAGCTCCATCTGGAACCTATCAGGTTCCATCAGGCGCCTGGGGCGGTTCCATCTTATCAGTTCCGCCTCCCTGCAGCGGGGTGCCGCGGTTCGAAGGTCAAGGCGAAGGAGCGAGTGATCCGACCATGACAAGGGCTCGATGACTATATCCCCTATCTCGAGATCACTCAACCACTGTCCAGAGACAAAAACCAAGTCCAGTGTGTTTCCCCCAGTGTGCGTAGGGCCATGAATTAGTTGGGTCAGGTCCATGGCCGTCATGGAAGCCATGAACTCCCGAGCCACCTCAGACGCCTCACCCACGGATGGCAGGTTGAAATCCCCCATGACCATAAGTCTGGGGGTATCAACCGCCACCGCGGCAATAACGTTGAGTAGCTCGGGCAGGGCTGCCACCATGTGGCAGGGAGCCAGGTACGTGATCAGCAAACCCATCTGAACCACTTCACAAGGAGGGACTCATAACCAGCTGTCTGAGGTACAGTGGTCTCCCTCGGCCTAAGGCCTTCTCTAATAATAACCGCTACTCCCCCGCCCCTCCCCTGTGACCTTGGCTGATGGAATGCGTGGAAACCTGGTGGGCACATTTCTACCAGAGGGACCCCTCCCTCTGGGCCCAACCAGGTCTCCGTGATACCCGCCAGGTCTGCTCCCCCCTCGTAAACAAGATCACAGATGAGGGGGGCTTTATTTACTACGGACCTGGCGTTGCACAGCATCAGGCGAAGGCCCGGGCCCTGAAGGTCTGTACTACCTGGAGAACGGGTGGAGCCTTGGGGGGCCGGAGCACCCTACCGCTTGAAGACAGCGGGTGCGTGCTCCCTTAACATGATATGGCCCCCTGCTCCCGCCATATCTACCTCTCCCACACACAGTACCGATGGTAAAAACACAGTCTGGACCAGCTCGACCCCCTCCAGATCCCCCCCCGCCGAACATCCTGGCCAAGCCCAACTCTCCCCCTAGTGGGTTATCCCCCAAACCCACAACCCTAATTCCAATCCCACCCCCCTCCCCCCTCCCCGAACCCCTTAAGAGTTTAGACAAGGACAATTTTAAAAAACCCCGCAGCCCCCTCTTTGCGGCATGCCACCTCTCGGGGCTCCCTCGATGATGATCGAGGTAGGCCCTCGATAGAATGGAGGGCCAAGCCTGCGAGAGGGGGGAGTCTCGCAGACCAAGAAGCTCCGCTGCTGAGTACATTGATCATAATGGGTGACACGACCATATCCTGAGGGTGTATATAAAGGACCGAGGAGAAGACAAAGGAATGGGGGATCTCAGAGACATATTCGCAGGACCAAGTCCCCTGTCCCCTCACAACAGAGGACATAGTCCAAAGCCAAGACGACCACAGTTTCAAGGGGGAAATAGATCCAACCACCCTCTCATGGTGGTTAGGTCAGCTGGACAGCCCCCTCTTGTGGTGAGGTGGTAGCAATGAACCGATGCATATAGACAGCGTCCGGGGGTCAGGTCCAAAAATCGCCCTCTCACGGCGGTTTGTCCGATGGTAAAAACCGATGGTAAAGTCCCCTCACTGGTAAAGTGCATATATGTAGAAAGCCTCCCGGTTCAGCCCCCAGGGGCTCTGACACCTGGCCACCCTCTCACAGTGGTCAGGCAAATGTCTAGCCCCCTCAGCCGACGGGATGCAGCCATGTACCAGTCTCCCATTCAGGTGGAAATAGCCCTCTCCAAAGTCAGGAGGGTTCAGAATAGTAATAGAACATAGCGCCAATGAGTCCCACAGGCTGACAGTTTTGAGCATTTTCCTCAGCTTCATGCCTTCTTTTCTGTTTGTGGCCCTACAGGAACAAATGGTGGTTTGGAATTTGGGATTGTCAGAGTTATGGACGAAGCGAAGCAGATGTTATCAATGAAGAACAAAGGCAAATATGAGATTGCTTTCAGGTAAGCCCTGCTCTTCAGAGGATTCCCTTTGTTCTGCCTTTGCTCCCTGCTTCAATATCATTAATTAAAGCTCAATGAAAGCCTCAAAGATTAGTCATTCGAGTTCACCTCACTCACACTTTTGTCCTACAATTCCAACACTCCAAATCCCGCACACCCTTTTTGTTCAATAAAGTCTGCATTGTTCACATTTTATTTAAATGTTATTATTTGAGGCCTTTTTTAATTTTGAAATGTGTACATGCATGCTTTTAATCTGTAATTGCCACAGTGGGCTGCTTGTTGGTTGGAGAGGCACACTGGCTTCCGCAAAGCTCTTCCGCAAAGTCTAACTCTCAGACTAAGAAATTGTGATTGGATGGGTGGGTGGATGGGCAATTGAGATGATGAGACCCACACCACAAAGAAACAGATGCAAGAGATTGTGGATATTTAGGATTGTGTTCTTCTTCCCCAGCTTGGTTATTGAATCCACAGAATATGGGATGTCTAACCTGGGTCAGCTGTTCACCATCCAGCCCCAGAAGGGGAATCTGAGTCCCAATGACCGTCCTACACAGGTCCAGATTGTCTTTCATTCGAAGAAGGAAGTGAAAATTGAGGACAAGCCTGTTCTGCAGTGCCATGTAAGACCCCTGGGTGTAACTGGGTGGAAAGAAGGCTGCTCAGCTAGCATTAGAGCCAACAAGGTGGGAGCCAGCCATCGGCCTGAGCCTCTTTTCCTGCTCGCTCTAGGTGATTGAGCCTTCCCTCTGTGAGGGGGGGGAGACCATCGCCACCATCCCTATCCGATTGTCAGTGCTGTCCTTATTCAGCAAGTACAATATTGTCCCTCCATCTGTCATTAACTTTGGGCCGCTGATGAACGGCACCCGGAAGGCCAGCAGCTTCACCATCGAGAACAAAGGGGTCCTGGACTTTAAGTTCACCATCTGCAAGCAAGTCCGTGATGTTGTGATTACAGCAAGGAAAGGGTGAGCTTCATCTTCGGGGATCGGGCCACTGGGATCTGTCAGTCTGATTTGTTCTGTGCATGGAATCAGATGCCCATAGAACAGAGACATATTTAGAGATGAGAACAGCAGAATTTCACTTCTCAGCACGGCCGCATCTTTCTATGTGCTCATGTGTGCATTTGTTTCTTGAAATTTATTTATTATATTAAAGTTCTCAGAGCAGGTTATAAAGTTATTTAAAATACTAAAACTTTCTTATAACAAAAATTGCAATATGTAAATAGCACAAGAAAGAGATAAACATTCACATGTAGAGCAGGTGTTTGAAAATGAAACCAATATAATCTATAGAAATACCTGGAAGAAGGAAAATGTTTTTGCCTGGCAAAAAGGTTCATTTTCTTTAGAATTTTCCTAAATGTGGCAGCACTCAGGGATCGCTGTCTGCCCAAGTGATCCTAGTGAAGCAGAAGCCGTTCTGGCCCAGAAACTGTTCTAAAGGTTGGTACCCAATTGTAAATTTTAATTTTAATCACACCCTTGGAAGAGATCTTAATGGTCAATTCATTCAACTGGGATCTACCAGATCATCTGATAGATGACCTTTGAAGACCTCCAGCAAAAGGGAATCTCCCACATAATGAGACACTTACGTGACAGCCTGTTCCACTGCATGACACTTGGTACCATCAGGAAACTTCTCCTGGTGTCTACCCTGAAGTTTCTTCAGTGGTACAATCTAGTATTTACAACCACTTGTTCAGCAACCATTCAAAGTTATGATGACCCTGAACTGGAAGGACTTAGAGCCATTGCAACAATGCGGTCACACAATCACAATTTATGAAGTTCTCTGCCGGCTTCCCACAAGCAAAGCCAATGGGGAAGCCATCAGGAAGACTGTTCAGGAGTCTTGTTTTGGACCATCTTCTTGGGGGACAATGGTCCTTACTTCAATCAGGAATTTACATGTCTACAATCAGGACAGTGGATGACCTCAGAGATGCTCTCAGATGGGTTTGATGGCTAGCCTGTCATCAACATGTTGCCCACTACTCGATTTAACTTTTTCCAACTGTTCTACCATGAGAAACTTTGGAGAGCAGAATAGGGAACTGCAGCCCTCACAGCCAGTCTGCGCTTTCCTTGAGTAAGGAACTAGCACTTCAAAGGAAGGACACATGCATCAAATGTTCTTGTGAGAACTCTCACAGTTACCACAACCCAGAAGTGTAAAATGTGGAAGTGGAAGCAGAGCTCAGATTCGCCACAAAGACCCCCTGGGGATCTCCCAACTTGGCCAGTATGTGTGTGGGATCTCTCTTTTGATTCCTTTGGGGAGGTCTATTGTGGCCCTGGGAAGGTGAGTGTGGGTATGATCCCGAAGGCTTGTAAAGCACATTCTCAGAAAGTGGACTGTGCATCCTCATGCAACCTTACCTGCCTGTGCTCTGAGACTATTTTGTAATGCTTCCTCTTTCAGAAACTCTAATATCAAAAGTTCCCGTTCCCGTGACACAGACATCAGCCGGCAGAACGCTTTTATGAGCACGGGCAGGCAAAGCAAACACGCAGATTCTTTGCAGAAAGACATGAACCTGATAGGGCAGGTAGGCAAAGGATGGCTTCTTCTACTTTCCACTTCTCCCACCCCGACGGCCAGCCTTTTTTTATATATAATTTTATTTGTAGTTTTTTCTTTAACCTCCATAAGTGCTTAGTGAGCAGTGTATTGTCTGGGTCGATATACTTTATACACAATACTAATAATAATAATATTATTTAGATATACATTATCATAATCTTTCAACTTCTAACATTTGTGTATACATTGTAGTTATAATATATTTCTATTATATATCAGTATATATAATACTATTTTCCCAATTTCTACTTTCTACCTCTTTTTTCTAACTCTTAATAAAGTAGCCACCATATTAAGAAGTATTCTATATCTATCCATCATCTCTTGCCCTTTTTAGAATTTGAACTCTTATTGACTTTTTGGTAAACCTTTCATGTTTCTCCCTTGGGATCTTGTATCTCCTTACATAACGCTTATTTAATCTTAAGTATTTCATCTGCCTCAACACCTATCTCTTGCTGTTAGATCTCTAGAGCACCCATCTGTAATTCTTTCATCACTTTTGGGAGAACTTTCTCTTTATTCTCTTCTATATTTTGAGCTCTTAAAGAGTAATCTATCTGTTCTGTTTTAAGAATTATTACTATCTCTTCCATATCTTTATCTGCTTGTATCATTTTTTTAATTTATCTCCTCAATTCTTTCCTCAGCTCCTTCTGGTTTCTATTTTCTGAGTTTTTTGTTCATCTTTTATTGTCATTTGCTGGGGGTTTTCTAGTCTCACATCAGTTCCATCATCTCCTTATGATGCCTTGTCATATCTTCCTGAATACATTGAAACATCAATAATATTTCTTTATGAACTGTATTTGTTGTCCCCTGTTGAAACATTTTGTAATAATTTAATAGGCTAAAAATTACTCAGTATTCCACCAAGATTCCAATATCCCAATTGCCCAGAAACACCAAAAATGCCAGTACCATGTTTCCCCAAAAATAAGTCTCTGTCTTATATTTTTTGAACCCTGAAAGGCCCGCTTGGCTTTATTGCCATGCACTCAAAAGCTTGATTGGGCTTATTATCAGGGGATGTCTTATTGTGGGGAAAACAAGGTATTAATAAAGTTTACTTGGTCCCGAGACTGTTCCTCAGAATCCCCAAAATTTATAGTCCTTAAATTTTTTTAATTTGCACCCTCAAAATTATTAAAATTTTTAAGTCCTGTTTAATCCTTCTCCTTTCTTCTTTCACCTTGCAGAGTGTTCTATCAAATAGTATTAATAATCCAGATTGGCCCACCAGAGTTCCCCAAATCTCTTTAATCCACAGAATCAATTGTTCAGTTTCAAGGATGTTTCTTGTTAATTATAGTCCACCTTGCCTTAAAAATCTTCAAAAGGTTCACTAAATACTTCCAAGCAGCCAAAACACCAGTAGATATGGAACCAAAATAAAGAGGCCTTCCAGGTATTGTTTGACTTTCTCCTCCTCCTTGATTTTCTTCTGTTATCAATCAATCCTCACTTGCCAAGGTATTTTCCCACCATGTACTAGTATAATATCTTCTTTCACCAGTAGGTGGCATCCTGCTCTAAGTTCCAGCATTAAACAAAATGAGGATAGAACAGCTGATTGTCAAAAAGATTGCGGAGAAAAAAAACCAAAATTCCTTTTTCCGTATATGATTTCTTCCAGTAATCAGACAGTGTTATCCACAAATTAAGTCACTTTTCACACTACTACAAGTTCCAGTCTTGTAGAAGGACTTCCTATATTTTAAAGCTTCATAGTCTTCCGTTAAAAGTTAGTTTCACTTTTGGGTCTATAATCTTTCTCCGTGTGATAAATCACCTCTTTCTTAGCGTTTTGGAGAGGCTTTTTTAAAAAGAACTCTTTTATTTAGGTTTCAATCTCTAATATAGAAGTTGAAAGTTGTCTCACCAGTTCCAATCCTCTGTTCACAAACCGCTCCAGCTCATAATCTTCTTGTCTCAGTTGTCACAGCTTCGGTCTTGCCAAAATGGCCGTCGTCTCTGCTGCTGATCAGGAGGGTTTCTTTGGATCAAGCAAGGAAATTGCTGTTTCCTCGCGATCTACGAAGTGTCCCTCCTTTCTTCACCAGCCACTTTCTTCAGTGGCTTTGACCCTGTAGAGACTCCTGGCAAGCAGGTATCGGCTGGGTTTTACGGGGCTCCACAGAGCTCTGCTATCCCATAGCTGTCCCGCTGTGATGCCAACAGGTGAATCTCCCACCCCCACCCCTACCCCGAACAGCCAGCCTTGATTAGGCAACGTTCATGTTTATTTGGAGAAAATGGGCATGGGGCAGGATTCTCCCATCCAGTTTTCTCCATGCTGCTCCAGAACCTCAAGCCCCTGGAAGTCCAAGGGAAACAGGGCCAGGGACATATGATCCAGAAGGTGCAGCTCCAGTGGGGAGGACCATAGGAAGATGATTTCCCAGCATGGATCCCACACTTGGGGTGCTTCTCTGTGAATCAAGGAAAGACTTTGCCCTGTCTCACTTTCCTCGGTTTTCACTGGCCCTTGGGAAACAATTGCCACTGCTGAATCTCCAGGGCTCCTTTGCAGACTTGTTTGTTTGCATCTCCCTCTCTTGCTGGAGAACAGCTGGTATCACCAGCAGTTGTTTAAGAGAAAGCAATCCATATCTTCTCCACAGGCTCGCTTCTCTTCCGGTATGTTCACTGTGTCTCCGGGATATGGAAACATTGCTGCAGGAGGCCATCAGGTCATCACAGTGGATTGCTTTGCTGAGCCTGCTGGGAAGTGTGAAGAATATCTGATCATTGAGATCACAGACCGAGACCCTGAAGACAGTCCCGGAGGCATCCTCTACACTCTTGTTGCAGAGTCCTGCATCCCAGGTAGATAGACCTTCTATCTTGCTCCTGGCTTACACTGCCTGAGGACACAGACCATGGTCTACACACCAGAACCAGGAAATCAAGTTTTATTTTTCCTGAGAAACAACCTGAGGTATTAAACATGTAATTGTCCCTTAGATGAAGGCCTGGTTTAGAAAGAGATGGTCAAAAGAAAGGTTAAAGTGCATTTCTGAGAGATTACCAACATACAAAGATTTCTGAAAATATTTCTGATGAAGGCATTAGCACCTTGGCATGGAAGAAGGCTACCTCAGGTCTTCATGGAGGCTTGGCCTCCTGAGGGAGGAGGGCAGGCATGAATATTAGTGTAGTAATGGGCAGATGGAGATGTAGCAGGAGACATGGGTGGACTGTGCTCAGCGAACACAGTCTTGGTTTCTTATGCCCATTCCACAGTGCCTGGTCATTGGACCTTCTGAAGCCCAGGGGGCTTTTGACTGCTGCTGCTATTGAAGGCCAGACAACTTGCAAGAGAGGTGAGAGAAGTTCCTCTCACCTCACTCCATCTCAAAGCATTTAGATTCACTCTAAGATGGATGTCATCTGAATGCTTTGAGGATTGGTCTGGCTTTTTAACTTGGAATGAGTTTGACACTATTACCCCCCAAGGAAATGGATGAGGTTCTCTGGGCTGGGAACTTAGTCTCCTGTTTAATGAGATAAATGTCCTTGCTGGCTAGCCAAGGCCTCTGGGAAATAAGGTGTGGTGGGGCCCAGGGTGGTAGGGAATCTAGTAATAGAAATTGAAATAATAGAAATTGAAATAATAGAAATTGAAATAGAAATAATAGAAATAGAAATAATAGAAATAGAAATTGAAATAGAAATAATAGAAATTGAAATAGAAATAATAGAAATTGAAATAGAAATAGAAATAATAGAAATAGAGCTGGAAGGGATCTTGGTGGTCTTCTAGTTCAGGGATGTCAAATTCACCAAAGAGAGAAGTAACCTGGAATTAAGGAGAAACTTCCTAACAGTGAGGACAATTAACTTATTGCTTAACGCATTGTAAGCCGCCCTGAGTCTCCGGAGAAGGGCGGCATATAAATCAAATTTAAAAAAAAAAAAAATAACTAGTGGGACAGCTTTGCCTTCAGAAATTGTGGGTGCTCCTTCACTGGAGGTTTTAAAGAAGAAACTGAACAGTTACTTATCTGAAATGGCATAGGTTCTCCTGCTTGAGCAGGGGGCTGGACTAGAAGACCTCCAAGGTCCCTTCCAGATTCTATTCTATTCTATTCTATTCTATTCTATTCTATTCTATTCTATTCTATTCTATTCTATTCTATTCTATTCTATTCTATTCCTATTCCTATTCCTATTCCTATTCCTATTCCTATTCCTATTCCTATTCCTATTCCTATTCTCGCTCAGGGAGGAGGAAGGGGGGAGGAGGAGAAGGACAAGGCAACGTCAAGTCTAGGGAGAATCTCTCTCTAGCACCCCTGAAGGTAGTGCAAAAGTCAACCTCGCAGCTCTCAGGTTGAAAGCAGGCAGCTTAAGTTAGAAGAAGGGGTTGGGGAATGCTGATTAGTTGCCAGGATCCTTGCTGAAATTGCCTCCTGCAGTTCCTGTGATCTTGTGCATATGATGAGGAAAGAGTCCCTGACAGTTGCTGTCATGTTGGTTTCCCAAGGATTTGTGACTGACAATCCAGGGATCATTTACGAGGAGCATCGGATCTGTAACAGTGGCAACCTCAGCCAGGTGCTGAAGTCCATAGGCTGCGAAGGGGTGTTTGTGACAGATGAGAACAAGTTTCTCTTTAACAATGTCCTGGTTGGGCACCAGGCAACAGCCCGCTTCAAGATCTGCAACCCTGGCCGGATCCCCTGCGATGTTGTCATGATCACAAAGCCCATTTCTGCCAAGGTAAGAGGAGGACAGTGTTTACATGACATGTTTTGTAACATTGTCCCATTCCATTTCATGGGAGGCTCGGAAGAACATTAATCGTGTAGCAATTTGGTGAGTGCTTGCGCCTGCCCGCCTGTCTTGCGAAGGGGTAGATGCTCTGGGAGCCATTGATTTAGAGAGGCCTGTTCCTGACTTTTCTTACAATAAGCAGAAAGACGAGGTTGTCCATTCCCATTACAGGCAGGTTGAGTAGAATAGAAATGGCAATAGCACTTAGACTTATATACCGCTTCACAGCGCTTTCTAGCCCCCTCTAAGTGGTTTACAGAGTTAGCATATTGCCCCCAACAATCTGGGTCCTCATTTTACCCACCTCAGAAGGATGGAAGTCTGAGTCAACCTTGAGCTGGTGAGGATTAAACTGCCGAACTGTTGTCAGCTGGTACTGCATTCTAACCACTGCACCACCACAGCTCTTAGAAATATACTGCAGCCAAACTCCATAGCGTGTAATGGGTGGGGTGGTGGGTGGGGTACTCAGAGCTTTCTCTGGAGTGATTCCTGAAGTTCTGCTTGCTCTATGGATGTTTCCTCAGTCCACTTCCCGAATCAGCGACACCTTTGAGCTCCATCCTGTGCGCATGTCCATCGCCAGTCATTCGCATGCCTTTGCAACCCTGACCTTCTCACCACAGGCCATGCAAAACTACCAGTGCATTTTTGAGGCTTCAGTAGATGCAATGCCCAGGTAATTCCCAATTGGCTGCTGAAGAGGGCATGTTTCTTAATCTGCACATAAGAACAACGCTTTCTCTTGTCTTTCAGTGTGGTTGCCAGATCAAGAGCTCTATCCTTTGAAGTCAGTGGAGATGGCAGCCTTCCTCAGATCACCATTGTGCGCCCTGTTCTTCGCAATAAAAAGGGGAACCCACTCCTCCTCTTCAGAAAGCTCCTCTTAGGTCACACGGAAGTGCTCCCCCTTGTTCTTAAGAATAGCGGCAGCCTTTTAGTCCAGGTAGCAGCCAGTGCTCAGAAGAGCAATCATAGACTGGGAAGGGGGTCTTGAGGGGGGAAGGCTTAGAGTGCCATTGTGGCAAAAAAGTGCTCTCTCTGCCATCTTTCCTTGCTGGGCTATTAGTGCTGCTCACTTGCTTCCACCCCTCTGAGAGTTGCCCTATTTCTAGGGATCAGAAAACAAGGGCAGCTGAGATTTGGGGGAGGGGGGGATAAAAGGACAAGGGAAGACAGATGGGAAATCCAGTGTTCCTGAGGTAGCCTACATACTGCCAATTGAAATCAGAGCTGTGGAAAGCTTTCTGAGACTCAAGACTCTTTGCTAAAGAATGTGGGTGCTGAATAACTATGAGGAGAGCTAGACAATATCATTGTGTCAGATATTTCCTTACCAGGTTCCTCAAGGCCTTCAACAGTGGCAGGGCTTCTAATGCCCTGGAAAAGGTCCTAAAAATTCAGGGATACATTCAGAGAATATGTTTCTGCCTTGAAAGTAGCCCCCATTGAACTGTACAGCACAGTCAAACATCAGCACAGAAAATATTTTATGACATTTTGTATTAGATCATAAAATGCTTTATGACAATTTAATGTCATGAAATGTTTTATAAAGTTTGCCAAATTTCAGTTCTATGGAAGTCATGGGTTCCATTTCAGGGCATTTATTATCCTCATTGTTCCCTCTCGCAGTTGTACCTGGATGTGTCCGATGAGAGTGGGGCCTTCACCCTGAGGCCCAGGCCCACCACCCAGTGCATTTACCTCTCTTCTCAGAACGAGGAGTGCGAGCCCAGCGATGGAGGTAAAAGCTGCCTCTCTGCCTGGGGCAAGAGCTCCTTCTGCGCTGGGAAGGAGGGGATGAGGGATGAGTAAGAGTGCAGCACTAGCTGTCTGTGGGCCACTACAGGTCTCTGCTACAGTGCAAGGGAACTCTTTCCATGCTTTTAACACTCACACTCACTCTTTGCATCTTTGTAGTCCGAAAACCACACACGGCCTCCTTGGTGCTGCACAGTGGGGAGGCAGCTGAGTTGGATGTGATTTTCCAGCCCAGCTTGGTCCAGCGAGTCGAAGGGCTGATCCACCTTTCTATTGTGGACAACCAGTATGAGGAAACCAGCATCCAGATGGTTGGCGAAGGCTACCAGGATAATGTCACACTAGACAATGTTCATAGCCCAATGGCAGAGACTGATGCAGAGGACATTGAAGGGCAACTGGATGAGAACACAGGAGAGGGTGAGTCAGCCTGAGAAACTGCAGAGGGTGCGGAAGGCGGGTGGGAAAGGCCCTTCTTTTTCTCCGAGGCTCCCAGGACAAAGGGCCCAAATCACTTGTGCCTCTTCCTTTGCCCAGCAAGAGGGCTTCCACAAGGAGACCCAGCCTTTCTCTGAGGAGGCTTGGCCAGGCCGCTTCCACCCATTTTTTTCCTCCTGAAAGAGAAGAGGTCTGAATGTTGGACATCTTCTCTCAGTTCAGCAACTGAATGCTTTTCCTCTCCCTCTTTAATTCACGAACTGGCCGAATCGGATGCCGTCTTTTTTTTTTTTATAAAAAGTTGTTTTTTATTTTTTACACATACACACACACAAACATGCAATGTATTTTTGCTGAACAGAGTATTTGGCCGGTTAACAAATTTAAACAGTTTTTAGTCCTTTCAACTAAAATTACAATTTCTATACCTCCTTTTTGCCATAGTATTTATTTTCACCTATTTTTTACCAATATTACCCTTTATTTTCATCTCTAATTTTAACCAAATTCCATTTTTCCCTTCTATTCCATATTAAACCCCTTCTCATTGTCATCTTCTACCCCCAGAGATACGGAGGATCCCGGATCTGCGCACCTTCCGCCGCGCTTTAAAGACCTTATTATTTCACCAGGCGGGCCTGGCCTAATTTTCTCCCTCTTTTATAAAAGATTTTTAATTTTTAAATATCTTTTAGTATTTTATACATTCAATTTTAAAATTGGTTTTAAATAGTTTGGGGTTTTAAATTTGTCGGGGCCAAAATTATTTAATTTGATTTTATTCTACTTTTAAATTTTGTATGTATGTGTTTTATTGTTTGGCTGTGCACCACCCTGAGTCCTTCGGGAGTAGGGCGGTATAGAAATCAAATCAAATCAAATAAATAAAATAAATCTGTTTTTGTATCCATCATCAGATTAATTAATTTTGTGGTGTTACAGTTGTTCAATTCTTATAAGAATAGTAAACCCACTTATTTTATAACATACATTTCCTTAAATAATACAGTCTAACATTTTAATATAAATCAATTAATTGTGTAAATATCTTTTTTATTTATATATTCAAACAAGAAAAAAAAAGAATATAAACGTGGATTAGTTCCATTTTCATACATCAATTAATTTTTCCCATATGATCCTCCAAACCACATCTTAATCATTTCTACTTTCACCACGATATGCAATTAAAAATATTTCATTTATTACAATTTCTTTAGTTAAATTTAAAAATATTCTAGCTGTTATCCTCTAATCATATAGCTTTTCCCATGTATTGTTCTAAATCGTCACTTAATCATTTCTACACACACCACCATAAACCATTAAAAGTATTTCAATTATTACAATTTAAACTTATTCATATTTCTAAAAAAACCTCATCATTATCTAGATTTCAAAAATACAAATGATAATATTCCAATTATTATTCATTTCATTTTCACCATCATATGATTTACCATTATTTCTTACTACAATTCATATTTCAGTTCTAGATATATACATCATATTCCTCTTTCATTTCTTTCTCCTTTTCTCTCTTTTCATTTTTATTTTTACCTTTTTCTTTCCCCTTTTTTCCCGTGCTTTAAAATCTTGATCTCTCCTGTTTTGCCCTATATTTCCCATTGTTCCCCCCCAGTGGTGAAATCTAAAATTTGTTACTACCAGTTCTGTGGGCATGGCTTGGTGGTGGTGGTGGGTAATGTGACTGGGTGGGCGTGGCCAATTTTTTAAACATTATTTTTAAAACCATTTTTTCTACAACCTCTTCGGCTAAGAGGTTGTAAAAAAAAATGCTTTCAAAAGGCTCTTCAAAAGGGATCGTCAGAGGCATTTAAAAGAAAAAAACTTTTTTTCCTTTAAATGGCTCTGACAATTTTTTTCTTTTAAATGGCTCTGACGATCCAAGCTGAGTTGCCTGATCGGCAGAGGGTTTTTAAAAAAACTTCTGACGATCAGGCAACTCAGCTGGGATCGTCAGAGCCATTTAAAAGAAAAAAAGCTTCTGATGATCACACGGCTCAGCTGGGCATGGGGGTGGGGGGGAGACAGGGATTTTTGCTACCGGTTCTTCAAACCACCCGCCTCCATCACTCCATCAGATCGGGCAATTCAGTCCACACCGGGAGCATTTCATCCCTGGTTCTCCCTCTCTTTTCTCTTTTTTTAATTTCACCACTGTTTAGCCCACTGTTTAGTCCAGTATTATCATTCTGTATTTCAAAGTCCTAGATTCTTCTATTTTGCCCTATATTTCCTGTTGTTTTCCACTCTTTTTCTCTCTTTTTTATCTTTTCACTGTAAATCCCAGTGTAATCATTTAAGTTCTTTATATTCTTTCTGTTCCAGCCTTCTTTCCTCATTTGTCTCTTTCCATCCTCTCTATTTTTTTCATTGTTAATCCCAATGTAATCTCTAAAAACCTCCTTTTTATTATTACTATCCACATGTTCAGTTACTTTTTCATATTTAATCACATTGTCTTTATCTTCTTTATTTTCAGCTTCTGTGTCTTGTTTCTCAGTCTTTATTTCCTTGTCAGCTTGCGTATGCTCTATCTCAATTTTTATGTCCTCAGATTTTAATTCCCCATGCAGCAGTAGTTATTTCTCTTATTTCCATTTTTCATGACAAGTACATCGATTTAATCATTTCTCTAATTTCCTGTGCCATTTTATTCTTTTTGAGTTAGTATTATTCCAATTTTAAAAGTTCAATTGTCTTCCTTTTTTTTCCCAAAGTCAAGCTGCTTGCAGACAAAGGAATCCTCCCCAAAAGTTCTCACGGCTGTTATCTGTAAAGTTCACAATTTTCCAAAACAAAGAGCAAGTTGCAATGTTCCTTTTTGCTCCTGAAGGTGTCTCTCTGCAATCCACAATTTCTGGTTATCTAACAAGTATCCATTTTGTTTCAATCTACATTAACTATCTTAACTCGCTTCTCTTTTTCTTTTTAGCTTTAAAAATACCAAATCAGTTTTATAGTCCAGCCCGAATTTAAACAGCTCTTTTTTAAATTTTAAAAAGTTTTTTATTTTAAACACATTAAAAACACATTAAAAATCAAACATACACATACAACAAAAAGTAACACAAAAAAGAAAAATATCACTTTTCTTTCAGCTATACACAGCGGTCTACTCTTTCTATACATCAATATTTACAAATATTTAAGTATATACTTATTTGACGTTCATTTTCTACTTTATATCATTTCTTCTTTACTAACAAAAGATCATACACATTTTCCCCCTCCTTTCTTCATTCATTTAACTTATTTCCTTATGTTTCAACCATTCATACCATCTACTCCAAATCTTATAATACTTTGATTCTTCTTTCTTTGATGATAGTATGTTCCGTAGCCAGTCTTGCACTTCCAACATTTCGGGGAGTTGGTAGGGAACATTTTCGCAATTCTGGCCGGTGGGAGGTGCCATCTATAAAACATTTTCATCTGGTTTTCCTTGTATCGCAATTGTTAGTTTCATGTTCGTTTTCCACATCCTCTCCCACTTCTCTATTTCTATCACATGGTTAAAGTTTTGTGCCTATTTGATCATCGTGTCTTTCACCATTTCCTCTTCCATTTTATATCAAATTAGAAACTTGTATAGTCTACTTATTAGTTTTCGATCATTCCCTAGTATGATTTTATCTAATTCTGTTTCTTCTATTCGAACTTGATATTTTTTTATATCCTCTGTGTACTTTGAATTTATCTGCAGATATGTCCACCATTGCACTTCTCTTCCTAAGTCCAGTTCCAATTCGTTTCTAGTTTTTAATATTCCCCTCTTAGTTATTATGTCTCTATACCTAATTAATTTTGTCCAGTCTACTAAATTTGGATGTTAAAATTTCCTCTGGGGAAATTCAAGATGGGATTTGTACATAATGCTGTTTTTTAATTTTATTCCAAATTATTAGTAAAGCATTCCTAATTGTGTGCCTTCTAAAGTATCCATAAATATTTTGTTTTCCTCCCCACAAATATGAGTGCCACCCTATAGTTAGATCATGTCCTTCTAATGTTAGCAGCCTTTTATTTTCCAATTCCATCCATTCCTTTATCCAAACTAATCCTGCTGCTTGATAGTAGGTCTCCCAATCTGGGAGGGCGGCTCCTCCTCTCTCTCTGGTATCTTTTAACCTAATTCTAGGCTTCTTTCCTTGCCAAATAAATTTTGTAGTTAATCTATTTAATCAGTCAAAAAAAAAAATCCCCATTTTTATCGGAATAGTCTGGAAAAGGAATAACATTTTGGGCAAGTTATTCATTTTTATTACTGCCACTCTTCCCATCCATGAAATCTGCAACTTTGTCCAGTTTTTCAAATCTTTTCACTTCTTTTTTCCTTTTTTCTTTTGCTTATACAAGACTTTTATTACAGGGCTTATTGTCCATTCTCTTTTGTTTTTCTTAAAATTCAAAAAAGAAAGGAAAAAAAGGATTTATTTATTTCTTTCCAATCCTTTAATCAATCTGGGGGTGATTTCTCTAGTTTTTAAATTTTTCCAAATTATTTTCCAAATAGTTTTGTTCAAAAGTTAATTTTCTATTCGGGATTTTGTCCCTTTTAAATTATGCTTCAACATCCTCTTTTCTTCCCCCCATGCTCATTAGCTGCCATTTTTTCGCTAGGGGTCTTCAGATTTAAAGATTTTTTTCTTATTGTTGTTTCACCTGTGAGTTGGCTGTCACTCACCCAGCTTCAAAAAACTCCATTCCATTCACCGCTCCTGCTCAATGCTTAGTCTGGTTGCCCCAGCTTCGTGACAACCGCAATGGCTGCCACCCCCCGCCGCCGAGTCGTAGAGAGTTTCCTCTGACCTTCGAGGAACTTGCCTGTTCTTTTTGGTCTTCTGAGGTACCTCTCCTTCATCCCCGTCCCTACAGGACGGTTTCGGTCTGAAGACCCCTTGGCGGCAGTTTGTCAGTCTGGGTTTTTGCGGAGCTGATCAGAGCCCACTAATTCCCCGACTGTCTCACTGCGACACTTCCAGTCGAATCCTCGGATGCCGTCCTTCACAGGAAGGGTGGGGGATGCGCAATTTGAGGGCGAGGCAAGGCCAGCAGAGCCTGTGGAGCCTCCTTCCACCTCACTTGGTCTCACTAGGAAGGGCTCCAGGTGTAGCTGCTGGGTGTGTGTGTGTGTGTGCTGACCGCTTGCCCTCTTCTCCGGCAGCAGTGAGAATGGATCACATCCAGTTTGGAGATTGCCACATTGGGAAACTGTATCAGGCTGCATTCACAATAACAAATCACAGCAAGTTGGACGTGATGAGATTTGAATGGCCTGCTGTGGGCCCTTGCCAGTTCTCCCCACAGGTAGGCTGGTACCCCTCCAGTGATTCCTAACTTTGGCAGGCCTTGGACTTCCCATGTTAGGTCTTCAGAGGGGTCTGTGGCATCATGGGGGGCCTATTTGGGGAGGGAGTTGCCTCTGAAGGGAGGGGAAGCCAGACCCTGTTCCCCCTCCCCCCCACACACACAATAGTTAAAACATGGAGCAGAACATTTTGGTCCCATCCACTGGGAGGGAGGCACAAATGAGATTCTGGGGTTCCATACACCCATTCCTGATTTAACAGGCTTTTTGTCATGTCACTCAGCAGTTACTTGACTTTTCCAGAGAGATTGTTTGTTTTTCAAGTACAGCTTGGTAGCTCTTCCTAGATAAGGAAGCTTTTCAGAAGTGCGAAGGCAGATTGTTTCAGATTGTTGCCAAGAAAAATAGGTGGAGGTATCTGTGAAATGGCCCAGAGCCCATGAATGCTGATAAATGTTTCCTTGATTCTCAGAATTTTGTCTGTCTCAAATGTTTGAATACACTTCTCTTCAGGTTGGCCATCTCCATGCAAGATGCACTAAAAACATCACTCTGGCTTTGAAGCCCAGCCTGCCCATCACCCTCAGGGAGCAGCTTCTCAGGTGCAAGGTGTCCAGAATTGCCTTCCAGTGCTCTGCTGACCAGGTCCCAGACTGGGATGATCGCTTGCATACTGTCAAATGGGTGGATGTGTCAAAAGGCATCACAAGTATACGTCCAGCAAAAAAGAAGGTAAGAAACCAGAATCTAAGAGTTGTGCCAACCGCCCTTCCTATATGGCCATCACTGGGAAGGCATTGGGTATCCACTGTCTTCAGTGCCATCTTCAGCACATTCAGCACCTCTGATTTCATGGATGTAAAGTACCGTATCTGGGTTGCTGCTGCTGCTGCTGCAAAAATCCTGATGATTTCTGTGCCCCCTTACTACCATATCTAATGACCATCCAGACATGACAGGCTAAGCATAGGTACTATAGAATGAAAGGAAGAAAGGAGAGCCAGCCCTGCTCCACCTCCTTCTTCACTGGCGCTCCTGAGGCAATTGCATCACAGGCACAGACAGCACAGCCTTTGTAGGACTTTCCTGGTGGTTGCTCTTCGTGGCCACCTCCTCTTCCCACTTGTCTTGGAGCAGCCGCCAAACAAGAGACTTCAGCCTGCAGCTCTGATGATGGGCACCAAGCCTTCTGGACTGCTTCTGACCCTTCTGCTTTTGGGGCAGGTGATAGAGACTGATCCAGAACCTGCTCATATAACTGTGGAGGAGGGTAGCCAGGAACTGATGCTTCGAGTGAGTGCCAACGTTGACTTTGCCCAGTATAAAATGGATGCGGATGCTGTGCACTTCAGAGACACGTTGCTTTTCCAAACAAGGGTGTTCATGTGAGTAAGATGAGATCAAATAAAATATTATGATCAAGAAGACTCTGCCTGTCCTTCACCTACATCCTCTTTGCATCTGACTTTGATCCTTCAGCCCTCACTAAGCCACCTCCTTTGGATCTCCTTTCTCATATATCCCAGCTCTGAGCAAAGCCTTCATTTTCTCCCTGCTCTGTTGCCCTCTCAGGGTGGAACTGTCCAACGTGGGGAATGTGCAGCTGGAGTATTCCTGGAAAGTAGTCATGGAAGAAGGTGGGAAGGCTGTCAACTTTGCTACTGAACCTTTGTCAACAAGCCCAGAAGGTACAGCTTTCTCTGCCCCTTTTCCTCTTGCTCTTCCTTCCCTAACAATCACCTGTTGCAAGGATCTCAAGAACTTTGCTGCAGGTTTTTTGTTTTGGTTTATGCATTGTCTTCCACCATCCTTTGTGCCTTACAACAGTCTCTGAAGAGGCTATCGCAAATTTGGACTTCAGTTTCCAGAATTCTCAGCTATGACTTTGTTGTCTAGGTCAGAGGTATCAAACTCATGGCATCACATGACGTATCAGGATTTTTTTCCCTTTTGCTAAACCGGGTGGGGGTGGAGCCAGCACATGACGCATCTGGTCCACGGGCTGTGAGTTTGACACTTGTGGTATGGATGTTCTGGAGCAGAATCAAAACTCTGTAGGACACTGAAACGGGGGAAACCAGCTCTGGAATATCAGTTGCAGGGGATGTAGTTTGCTGTGAGTTTAAACTAGAAAATGCTTCTTTCAGTAGATGAGTCTCTCAATATATGATTCATTTTAAAGTGAGCGGATTTCCTCAATTTATTATCCTACAGTCTGGGAATTTCTGGAGGGAGCCTTTTTGGGAAGCAAACAGAAGGTCAGTCTGAAGAAACTAAGTACTTGCAGACATATGTGTTAATAAACTGTTCCTTTCGCCAGGGGACCCATCTAGAGCATCAACTGCTTCCATCAAGGCCCAGCCTAGCCGGCCGTTCAGCCAGCTGGGAAGCCTGCTGGAGAGTTTCTCTTCCTACGTTTTCCCAGTGGTCACCCGCCCTCCATTCTTCATGGAGCCCAGCAGTGGGAAGATCCCTCCTGGGAAATCTCAGTCCCTCCAAGTGAAATTCTCTCCCCAGGAAATAGGAGAGTTTGAGGGTCGGCTACTCTGCAGGTAAGAAACCATCTTATCCAGCCATGGTGGGCATGTTTTATAGTAAAATGGGTTAAATCTTAGCCAAGAAGGTGCAGCTTTCCCACCACAATTCTGTCCTTTTGCCCTGGTGGTTATTACTGCCATGTTGAGTCCCCTCTGAATGTATTGTGAGAGAGGACTCAAAGGGCAAAAGGTGGCATCTCACCTTGAGAAAATGGATTCCCATTATTTAAACCAAACTTTTGGAGCATTATATGGAACAGACCAAATTCTTTACCCTTTTGTTGCTGGAGTGAATATGGAGCAACCAAATTACTCAGAGCAGGTCTACAGGTTAGCATGTTTCGTGCCAACATTTTGAACGTTAGAAGTTGGTTGGGCTTCATGGCTGACAAAAATCGAATGGATTCTATGCCTTAAGGTTGCTGTGGGGATGAAAAAGTTAACTCAGAAATGTTAAAGGTTCTCCAAGGAGGTTAAAATACAGTAGAGTTAAAACCCAAATAGGAGGAATTCTTAGCCAGGTTGCTGGGGATGGCCTTACTCAACTCAGCATTTCCCAAAACTGGCTGCAATTTGGAAAAAAGAAAAAAAAACACCAGTTGCATCATCACATGCTTGGCTTTGTTCCTCTGCAGAGAAACATTCCAGAACATTCTGTTACTCCATATTTTGGTGGGAAGTTCTCACTATAATGACTTTCCACAGTTCCCTTTTGATTTTATCAGTAACCTCTCCAAGCTTGATTTTTAAAACTTCAGTGTCTGTGTTATCTTTCTCATATCCATCCTTGGTTTGTGTTCTCTTTTGGTTGCAATGCATTTTGTGCGGAAATTTGGCTGGATGTTATAAAATGCTCTTCAGGAGATTGCTGTTTGTGGAAGGAAGAGATAACCCACTGAAGCTTCTTTCTGGTACTTATTTTATCTTGTAGGAAAGTTGCAACCTATTTTGGTGTCAACACTTTACTCTTGAAGGGCATAATGGTCAAGCATCCCAAGCTAGGATCACTGGTTCAGGCAATGATCCAAACTGTTTGGCATCTCAAGTCTCAGTCCCTGACATGACACAGTTACAGGTCCCCTTTTTGACACCTTCCCTCAGTGGACTCATTTTGATTTTCACAGGTGACACTAATATATATTAGGTCTTTCTGTAATTCCTTCTGCCTCTTCCTTGTTCTCTAGTAGTAATGGTTCAAATGGAGAGAACAGAAGAGCAGCCTCAGCTCCTTGTTTCCACTTCTGTGGGTGAGATCCGGGATTACAGTCACAGTCTCCATATCCTCCGGGATTCTCAGTAACATTCCAGATGACGTTCTTGATCCCCCTCCCTAGCTAGAATTGCCCCTTCTGATATTTTCCCCCATATCACCTGATCAGTGCAGCATTAAAGAACAAGAGCCTGTGAAAGCTGGTTTTCCAATCCTCTTCTTGAAAGAGGTCATTCCCAGCATCTGAGTTACTCATCCTTATGACTACTGTCATCGTTCGGCTTCTGGGAGTTGCATAGTAATTCCTCTGTATCAAGCTGTACAATCTTTAAAAATAAGAATACCTATCCCAGTGCCTTCAACATGGACCTGCTAAATCCTCCCAAGAAACATTTGATCTTGAATGTACTAAATACAAAATTGGCCTTGGCTTCATCTGCTGTGGTTGCTTCCTCTTCAGTCTCCTTTCTCTCCATCTTTGGCTCATCTGTCCTCAGCCTCAATTTTCTGTCCTTTAAAATTGCAATCTTCTCAGAATGTTGCAGTCTGAGTTCAACAGGTAAGGTGCCAAACCATTCTGCTCCTTTGGATCTAGAAGTTTATGAAATGGAGCCTGCATCTTCCTCTTTCCACTTGCCAGCATTGCATGGTAGTCCAGACAAGAAGCACACCCAGAGAACTAACTGTAGTTTATTCTAAGATTACATTAACAAAATCTGGCAAATCTAAAAGTATACTTCTCTCTGTTACCTTTCTGATTATGTGCTGTCAAATAATTTTCTACTTCTAGCAACTACATAGAGAGATTTTCTCCATGACCTTTTCTTTCAATTCTCCCAGCAGTTCACTGTAACCGAGTCCTTCCACCTTACTGCTTCACATTTTTCTTCTCTTTCCTGCCACCCTTCTCGGCATCAGAGCCTTCTTCAGAAGAAGAGAGCTGGGGTTTTGCATAATGGGTCCAAAGAAGGATAATTTGAGCCTGGACATACTTGCCTCAAGTGAGAACTCTGGGTTAATTTGGTCAATGATCCATTGATTTGTGTTCTGGGCTGTCCAGAGTCCTCTTGGGACTCTCCCCAACACCAAACTCCAAAAGCACTAATATCTTCCTTTTTACTTCTTTAATGTCCAACTTTTGCTTCCACAGAGAGTCACAAGGAATACCCTGCCTTGCATAAATTCTAGTTTGTCAGGTTCCATAAAGTCTGGGGAAAAAAACCTCAGCACGCAAAAGCAGTAACCAAGTTTGTTTATCGGTACTAACTGACCAGCTGTACAGGACAAGTGTAGAATCTACTTCTGTCTTTATATCAAAAAATAGTCAATTTAATCATGTTATATGTTTTTTAAAATTCTACAGAATCATAAGGCTAGAAGGGATCTCAAAGGTCTTCTAGTCCAACCGTCCCACAAGGCCAAGTCTCATGCCATCCCAGTCAAATGGTTGTCCAGTCTATTTTTGAAAACCTCCAGCAATGGAGCACACATAGCCCCAGGAGGCAAGCTATTCCACTGATTACTGCCAGAAAATTTCTCCTTTCTTTTAGGTTGTATGTCTCTTTGACAAGCTTATACTAATTACTTCTATTTCTTCCCTCTGGTGCTTTGGAGATTAAGTCAATCCCCTCTTCTTTGTTGACAGCCCCTCAAGTTAGGATTATGGTTAGAGTCACCTTACAGGGAAGATGAGCAGCACAAAAGATAGTTAGATAGATAGATAGATAGATAGATAGATAGATAGATAGATAGATAGATAGATAGATAGATAGACAGCATACATGTTTAATAAATAAATAAAAGTACTGGAAGACAATTATCATGTCCCTTCTGATCCTTCTCTTTGATAGCACTATTCTTAACAGATTAACAGAATTGGAAGGGACCTTGTAGGTCATCTATCCAACCCCCCACCCAAGCAGAACCTACACCATTTCTGACAGATGGCAGTCCAGTCTCTTCTTGAAAACTTCCAGTGACGAAGCTCCCACAACTTCTGAAGGCAACTTCTGTTCCATTGGTTGATTGTTCTCACTGTCAGAAAGTTCCTCCTCATTTCTAGGTTGAATCTCTCCTTGATCAGTTTCCATCCATTATTCCTTGTCTGGCCTTCAGGTGCTTTGGAAAATAGCTTGACCTCTTCCTCTCTGTGGCAGCCCCTCAAATAATGGAATACTGCTATCATGTCTCCCCTGGTCCTTCTCTTCACTAGACTAGCCACTAACAGTTCCTGTAACTGTTCATCATAGTCCCCTAATCATCTTGGTTGCTCTTCTCTGCACACTTTCTAAGGCTTCAACATCATTGTGTGGTGTGATGGCCAGAATTGGATGCAGTATTCCAAGGGTGGGGTCACCAGTGCAGTATAAAACAATTCTATCCTCATGATCTTGTGCTCTGTTGATGTAATTTAGGACTGCATTGGCTGTTTTGGCAGCTGCAGCACATTGCTGGCTTGTTTATGAATTGTGGGGATTAAAATATTTGGGTTTTATATCTCACAATACTTAAGTGGTGATCCACTCAAACTCCTAGATCCCCTCACAGTTAATACTGTTGAACCAGGTACTGCCCATTCTATACCTATGCATTTGGTTTTTCCTGCCTAAGCGCAGCACCTGACTTTTCTCACCCCTGAACTGCATCTTGCTGGATATGGCTCAGTGATCAAGTCGGTAATGATCCTTCTGAATCTTGAGTCTATCTTCCAAAGTGTTCTCAATTTCCTCCCATCTTGGTGTCATCTGAAAATTTGCTGATATTAAAACTGTACCATTTTGATGTTTGAACTACAGTAGATGTCAGTTTTGCCTTTGGCTTTTCATATCATAGCAGCATCTCAAGCTGCTATGATATGTAATTGTGCATTCTCATCTCAAATGTCCGAGCTCCCCTGCCACCTTCTTTCTTCTCTTGCTAGTGACCAAGTGATTGACACTTGCTAGTGGCACAGTGATTGACTGAAAATTGAGAAAATTCAAGCTCACCAAACCTTCAAACCAGATGATTCAACTAGAAAAATATTTGAGAATGTTATTTTAAGCAGACATGACCTCTATTTATGCCTGCTGCTCTTTCATCTCTCTCTGGGCACCTGGTGATGAAGGGACAGGCGAAGAGAGTGTCAATGCAAAGCAAGTAAGCCTTGGAACCCTTGTTTTGCATTCACTCCTCATACGGTCTTGTTTCTTTCCAGTATGCCTAATCTGAAGCTAGATGAGGAGGGCCCCGTTGTTGCTGTGAAAGGGAAGAGTCTCCTGCCATATTGCCACTTTGAGCTGGAAGACTCTGATTACATCACTGCAAACAGGCGCAATTCGGACTTGCGAGGACCAGGAGGGATGAGTCTGGACCCTCAAACGAAAGTGATTGAATTCAGCTCTGTGGGAGTCCATGTCAAGAACAGCAGGTGAACTTCAAGCCAACCGAGGAACGTTTTTTGATCATTTGGAAGCTTCATCATCTTCATCCAGCAGAGCCATATTTGGCTTTGGCTAACCTGGAGAGCACCCTGAAGGTGGGGTGGTTCCCTCCTTTCAATCCTGGGGGTAGAACCTTGCCATCCACCCTTGAGAGACTCTTCCAGACTCTCTTTCCTACACTGGCCCTCCCCAGCTGGATTGTTCGTGTGTTCGTCCACACTTTTCCCTTTAAATATGAAAGAGTTTTTAGGGATTCACTCCAGTAAAATTTTAGGTGGTTATTTCAATATAGCTTATGGATCTCTCGTTGTTATTTTATAAAATAACAGTGTATTGTGATAAACTGATTTAATTTCTGTCCTTAATACGTGTTTTATTATTTACTTATTTTTGATTTATATGGCTACCCTGGTTTAAGATATTTGTGGATAGATGTAGAGATAGTCCTTGACTCACTGCCACAATTGGGACCAGAATCTTGGTTATTGAGCAAAGTTAAGTGAGACATCATATGACTGCTTTGCTCAATGACTGTAATCCCAGCCCTTCTGGCACTAGAGGCTGTGTGGTAAAGTAAGGAGTGTGGGGTGCCTCAAGGGGTTGGGGGAGGCCCAGGCCCAATCCTCTCTGCTGAAACCCAGGTGGAAACCACTGACTTTCTGGGGAAGCCCGCAGGGAGATTGCAGATGGTAATGGGCTTGGTCGAGGGGCACTTGGCAACTGGTCAAAACTGCAAAGTAATTGCCAAGTGCTCTAGTAGCAATCAAGTGACTGTGGGGTGTGTGTGTGTGGTTGTATATGTGTGCAAATTTTGCAATGGTTGTAAGTGCTTTGGAGGGTTAAATTAAGGAGTTTTTATCATGTCTTCTGAGTGCTAGTTAGTGTTTCATAGTTGCACTGTATGTTGTAAATTATCCTTAATTTTTTTCTTTTGAGTCTTTAGATTTACTTAGGGTATTTTGGAGTGGTTTAGTTGCGTACTGTGGTGATACCACTTGGTTGTAACAGTCGATCGGTGGCTCTGTAAAACAAGAGATCCAGTCAAGAATGTTTGAATGATAAATGAATATGGACTGATTTCAAAAGTGAAATTATTTGTGGTAGAGAGGATCAATGGGGATCCAGTTGCAAGCAAATATATGAAGGAAGAGTGGACGAGCTTAGAGGAAGAGGTTGAATGGGGTGAAGAGGGTCTCCCAAAGAGAAAGGGGAGATGCATCTGTGTCTGCTCGCTTCTAAATGGCAAACACCAGGTGCCAGCATTGCATGGCAAACTCTGCTCCATTGGTGTTTGTGTATGTATGGCTAATAGTGTGATGCGCCTAGAAAAGAGGTAAGGCTGGCATTGCAATGCCATGATGTTGCTTTCAGCCATCTGACTTATTTAAAGAATATTTCTACCTTCCCTTCTCGCCTTTAGAAGGGACCAAAGACTTGGCTTTACCATCTTGCTTGAGGTTGTGGTAGCATGGATCCTGCTAAGTGATAACATCTTTAGCAGGCTGGATTGCACTTTTTCAAATTATGGTTGTTATGTTTAAATAGTTTTTCATTTCTTTTAATGTTTGTAATGGCTTTTGTTGTATGGTTTTGATTAGTGTTTGCTTTTGTGTGTGTGCGTGTATTAACTTTGTGAGCTGCCCATAATCACATATGTAAGACAGACAGAGAGAAAGAAAAAAAGTGTTAGATAGGGGGGTGCGAATAGAAGAGGCAGAACTCCGTGGTCCGTTCAGCACTTTATTTCTAGGCGCTATCAGGAGCAAGAGAGGCAGACTGCCGGAGCTCTCTTTTTAAAGAGCCCGGCAGTCTTGCTGGCCACTGACAGCAGTTTATTTTTCCCGCCGCTAGATTAGCCAATCAGTGGCAGGCATGCAAATGGGTGCTCCGTACGTCCGTACGTAACCCTCCCCTCTTGTTAGAGCACAACTAATCACATTTATAATTAGGCAATGTAGTCACAAGGTAGGCGGGGCGCTTCAGGGCATGACCATACCTGTGTAGTTCACTTGTTCCAGCAGCGGCGGCCTGTGCAGTCAGGACTGCTGCCGCTCCTGAATTCTCAGAAGGAACCTCCTGGAACACTCCCATGGGCGTGGAGGACTCCGCCCCGGCCCCTCCTTTGGTTCCTGGATCTCGTTGCTGGACTCCTGGTTCCTCAGATAAGTGTTTGCGGTCCTCCCTCAGGTTTGAGTCTAGGATCTCTGTGTGGTTTGGAGCTAGGGACAGTTTTTTATTGTACGGGTTTCCGCTTGTTGTTTTGTCTGTTCCTTGGGGCAGAGGCTCACTTAATGGCCTCCCGGGATTCTGGTCTTGTTGGATGGTGGATTTTTCGGGTTGCCTTAACCAGGTCTCCCCTAGTCTATTTTGGAGTTGGTCAATATGTCTTCTTCATACCCTGCCATCCTCAAGTTCCACCTGGTATGACTTTGGCCCCGTTATAGCTACTACCCTTGCTTGTACCCAAGTGGGGCAGTCTGTGTAATTATGGGCAAACACCAATTCCCCTTCTTCGAACTCCCTGAGTTGTTGGGTTCAGTTCAGGGGTATCGCCAGGTGGTAATGGGGGTGCAACCGGTCCAACGGTGACGTTAGTCTTCGGCCCATTAATAGCTCGGCCGGACTTTTATTAGTGGTTGTGCTGGGGGTGATATGTTGGGCTAAGAGGAATTTGTCGATCTTTTCCTGCCAGTTACTGGGGCCTATTCTGGTGAGTGTTTCTTTGGTAACCGGTTCTCCGAACCACCAGCCATCATCGCTACCTACTCACCCGAGCTGGTCCGAACCAGGAGCATTTCGGTTTGAACCACTCCAGGCCCAATAGAGTTGGTTTGTCGTTGTCGACGATGGTTAGGGGAGCTGTCCACTGAAGTCATTGAACTTGACTTGCACTATTGTTCTTCCTAGCACGGGGATGTTATTTCCCTGGAAATCATTTAAAGTAATGCTTTGCAGTTTGAGTTGTTTTTTCTTCATTGTCAGGATGAGGCTCTTCAGTGTCTGCCATAACACAGTGGTGAAGAAGGACCCTGTGTCTAATTCCATGCTGCAAGGGTCCCCTCTACAGGGATGGTGATGTGGTATTTATCACCGTCACATGTGTCTGAGTGGCCCACAGTTGTTTGATTTACCGTATTTTCCGGCGTATAAGACGACCCCCGACTTTTCCTGCTAAAATATAGGGTTTGGGCTATACTCACCATATAAGACTACCCCTCTTCCAACGCACACCAAATAAAAATTAAAAAACATCAACTGGCTCACCCACAATGTAAAAGCAGCTGAGCTAGACCCAAAATGGCCCCTGCAACAAGCAGGAACCTCACACAGCCACAAAAAGCCCAAAAAAACAACTTTCACACTTTACACACACAAAATTCCACATACAGCTTTGTGAGATTTTGTGTGTTTGTGTAGTTAGAGTGAAACACTACAGAAACACACTAAATCTCACAAAGCTGCACAAATATTATTTTATTTTATTTTTATTTGTATATGAAAACTAAATTTAAAACTACCTAAACTTTAAATGGCTAGGTCTAAAAAAGAACAACTAAAAAAAACCCCAATTAACTATTTTTTTTTAAAGCTCCCAAAGGGGAAAAAAACTTACCCAATAGAACAGGGGTCTCCAACCTTGGCAACTTTAAGACTTGTAGACTTCAACTCCCAGAATTCCTCAGCCAGCTTTGTTTTGCTGGCTGAGGAATTCTGGGAGTTGAACTCCACAACTCCCTGCCTGCTTGATTGCAGGCAGGGAGTTGCTTGTTGATGGAATGGATTCAGGCAAGCAAAGCAAGGCAAGTGTTGCGACTAGCAGCTAAGATAAGCAAGCTAGAGGGGGAAAACTTTTTTCCTTTTACATGGCTCTGGCGATCCCAGCTGCGTTGCCTGATTAGCAGGCAACTCAGCTGGGATCGTCAGAGCTTGGATCGCCAGAGTCATTTAAGGCTCGTCAGAGCCTTTCGGGCTGGTCTGCCTGGTTACAGGAGAACGACACCCGGCGTATAAGACGACCCCTGACTTTTGAGAAGATTTTCATGTGTTAAAAAGTCGTCTTATATGCCAGAAAATACGGTATTCCTCTTGCTTCTGGGTAGGGTTCTTCCCTGCGCTTGTTTCTTTGGGGCCCCAGTCTCATGTGTCCTTGCCTCCCTGGACCAGCCTGGGGTCTGGGTTGGTATGGTATAGGCTGGGTGGCCCTGCAGGCCTTGGCTATATGACCCTTTCACTGGCACCGGTGGCATATGGCAAGCTGATCTAGCATGGAAACCCATGCACCCTGGGCAACAGGATTGTTTAAAATCATAGTCTCTTTGGCTTATCCTTCTTTCTGGGAATATTCGGTTCACTGCCTCTTCCTCGTCCATGTCTTCGTCATTCTCAGGGACCTCAGTGGCCCAGTTGGGCTCCTGTTAGGTGCGATGTACTCCGTTGGTCTTTCGGACGTTGGCAGCAGAATTATCAGACGCTTCTGTGGCTCTGGCTTCCTTGACCACATCTTTGAAGGTAGCTCCCCTCCAAATCAGCAGCTTCTTCTGTAGGGTCAGGTCCCTCATCCCCAAGATGAGTGTATCTTTCATCATCTCCTCCGGATTGCCGAATTCGCACTTGGTTGCAATTTCTCGCAATTTGGCCACAAGATCGCTGATGGTCTCACCCTCTCTTTGCCGCTGGTGGAAAAATTCATTTCAGCTCACCATTGGCATTGCTGTTGGGGCATAATGGTCCCTTAGGATATTCTGCAGCGTGGACCAGTCATCAATTCGATGTCTGCCGGTGATGCGAGGGTCTGAGCCATCTTGTAAATTTTGGGGCCACAGAAGGTGAGGAAGAGAGCTCTTTTTCTATTGTCTGGGAGGTCTTGGTAGTTGTTGGCTTCCAGGAACATTCGGAATCATCCCATATAGGTGTGCCATTCCTCCGTCTATGGGTCGTAGATAGCCAGTGCAGCAGAGGTTTGGCTGGTCATCATTTTTTTTGTTTGCCAGACAAGATCATTCCTTCCTAGAAGATGGCCACGGATGCCACGAGGTGAAGGTCAATGCCCTTTGTCCCCTTTTCTTGTCCTCTTCAAAATCCCACCTTTGTCGCCAGTGTTAGATGGAGGCGCAAATAGAAGAGGCGGGACGCCATAGTCCATTCAGCACTTTATTTCCAGCCGCTATCAGGAGCAAGAGAGAGGCAGCCTGCAGGGTCTCTCTTTTTAAAAAGTGCCGGCAGTCTTGCTGGCCACTGATAGTGTTTTATTTTTTCCACCGCTGGATTAGCCAATCAGAGGTGGGCATGCAAATGGGTGCTCCGTACGTCCATACGTAACAAAAAGGCAGAGCATGAAGTCCTGGATGAATGTGATGGAAGGAAGAAAAGTTTGCAAGGACAGAAAGGGAGGCCGAAGATAAGAGATTTTAGCCAGATTTTCTTTCCTTTTTCTTATCCAATGCCTGAAATTCCTCAGCATTTTGTTTCTTACTTCCTTTCTGTGGTGGGCATCTCATAACAAAAGGGAAGAAGAGTTTGATAGGTGTGTGTCCATGGAGCTCAGGCACCCAGTCCATTATGTTGTGCCAGTCCAGCCGAAACGGGCAGGGAGTTTCAGCCTCAACTAATGGAACTGAAACTCTCGGTGAAGCGTAGTTTTGTAACTCTTTCCTCTGTGTAAAGATTTGTTTCGAATACAATGCCTACTGCTTCAACTGATGAAAGGGAAACATCTGGCTAGGTGGTCCTTATGATCCCCTTCTCTTCATGGCAGGAGCTTTGCCATCCTGAACCCCACCAATGCCGCCTACTCTTTCCAGTGGAGGTGTGAGCAGCAGGAGGAGAGGAAGACTCCCCCGGCCTTCATCTGTTTCACCGAGCGGGGGCTCCTCCGGCCAGAGAAGAAGATAGAGGTGCGTGTGCAGAAGAGGGAGGCTCGAGCGCAGCAGCCTCGGCTGCTCTCTGCCCTCCACCATAGCTGCTCTGAGCCCCTTCTGCCTGGGAGCAGCCGGTGGCGACTTGAAGGAAATTCCCAGCTGCTGGGCTCCTCTTCTGGTTTAGCCCATCATAGGGCTCTCTTTCCTTTCTTTCCCCCAGGGTGTTGTGGCTCTCTTTCTCCATGGGGGGTGGGGGGTAGAGCAGATACTGAATGCTGGAATATTTGCTCCCACCTTAATCTCCTTTCTAGCAGTTTGGAGGTGAGGACGGAAGGCTTCTCAGCTGATAGAAAACCTTCTGTGGTCCTTCCCACAGCAGTGAAAGACTCACCCAAGTCTTCAATATACTGTAATATTTTAAGTTTTATTTAATCTTTAAACATCCCACAGTTAAATGCTGTTTTGGAATTCTAGCATACTTTTAAAAGCTTTGGAATTAAAACACCAAATTCGGGATCCCTATTGTTCCATTATCCTGCACAGTGAGAACCACCCTGTGCCAGAACGTAGCACCTGTCTTTTCCTCTCTAGATCATATTCGAATTCATTCCCAAGCATCTGGATGTTACTGAATCCTTCTGGACCTTCACCATTTCCGAACACAACATCACAGTTCCTTTCCTCCTGGTGGGTCACACCACTGACCCGGCTGTCTCTTTTGAGAAAGTCCACCTGAACCTCCAGTCGCTTCTGATTGGTAAGAGCAGCCCTGGAGGACTTGGGTGCTTGGGTGTCCCGGGGGTCCTGCTTGCACTGCATGTGAGGCAGCTCCATCAGCTCTGCTAGAAGTAGTCTTTCCACTTCGATCCTGATATACAGGTAGTCCTTGACTTACAACAATTCATTTAGTGACCATTCAAAGTTACAATGGCACTGAAAAAAATGACATGACCATTTTTCACAGTTATGACATTTGTGGCATTTCCATGTTCATGTGATGAAAATTCAGATGCTTGGCAACTGGTTCATACTTATGACCATTGCAGTGTCCCGGGGTCATGTGATTACTTTTTGCAACCTTCTGACAAGCAAAGTCAAAGGGGAAGCAGTGATTCACTTAACAACTGGGGGAAGAAATGTCACAAAATGGGGCAAAACTGACTTAACAAATGTCTCACTTTACAACAGAAATGTTGGGCTCAATTGTGGTTGCAAGTCAAGGACTACATGTAATCATTGTGATTAAAAAGCAGATCTCACGGGATAAGTAAAAATTTCAGCTGATGCAACTGACTTAAAACTTCAGCTGTTTCAAGTCTACAGAAAGAAAAACGCAATGCAGATATTAAATCAGGTCACCTGGAAAAGGAGCCTCACTTGCGCTTCCCACTCCTTCCTCCCTCCCTCCCTTCCTTTAATGGGCGATGAGTTCAGGTCTTCAGGGCAGAGATGCTCTCCTTGGGGAGGTTGCTCCCTGATGGGACCAAATGGATTCTGATACCTGCAGAAAAGTTCCATTTGGCTTTTTGTAGGACCTCCAGGATCTTAGTATTTTTTACAGCTTTGGGCCATGATACACAGTTTTTGTTTATAGGCCAATTTTCCTGGTTTTTTTTTTAAATGTCCTTTTCATTTCTCAGTTTGTCAGAGAGCTCTTTAGAGAACCATAGCAGTTTTATGTGGTTTGTGGATGCTGTCTTTGAACTCATTATATCACTCATGAAAGCTCTTGAAACTCTTTTATTTTAGCAGGCCTTCAGCCCCTCATATAAAACAATATTATTACTATGTCAAAGGCCGCTGATTGGATTATCTTACTAATTGAGATATTCTGATCAGGTACAGCATCCAGAGTCTTTCTATGACATTATTTCATAAAGAGCTAATTGTAAATTAGATACATTTAATGCAAAATGGAGAAATAGGGCCATTAGGTTGGATTTGCATCTGAGCGAGTTAATCCAGAAAGTGTCTCTTCCCTACATCCCACCACCCCCACTGCCCCCCAGGCCGGGGGTACTATTCAGTAGGTTCTGACAGGTTCTGGAGAACCAGTAGCAGAAATTTTGAGTAGTTCAGAGAACCAACAAATACTACCTCTCTGGCTGGCCCCAGAATGGGGTGGGAATGGAGATTTTGCAGTATCCTTCCCCTGCCACGCCCACCAAGCCATGCCCACCAAGCCACACCACACCCACCAAGCCACGCCCACTGAATTGGTAGTAAAAAAAATTAAATTCCACCACTGCCCCAGGCCATCTCTCTTCAGCCTCACAGGAGTCTCCTTGCCTGGATTCCAATTGGTCCCCAAACCACATTCTTTCCACCAAGTTTAGCTAAGGCTTGAGAGAACCAGCAAGTAATTTTAAACTGTAAAGTGAGGAGGAAAAAAAAGAATGCCAGAGTGAAAGAATAATGTTCTTATTCATGGCTGAAATGAGGAGGGCCTCCACCCTCTGAGACCTCTGGAGGACTGTGATGACCATCTCTTCCCCGGGCCCTGGGGGGGATCAAGGGAGGCCCACAGGGGGGGGGGGGGGGGGAGGTTGTCCTCTGTGGTGGGGTTTGAGGTTGTTGCGGCATTTGTGGGTTGTATTCATTTTTGTGTTATAGAATGTGGCCATGAGCCACCTAGGATTATTAACATATTGTATGTAAGATAGTCAGGCTACCTTACTTACAACCAGATTTCATAGAAAGCATTTTTATGAAAATTGACCTGTAGATTCAAAGGAAAATGTTATAGAACAGGAGGGGGATTTCTAAATTTCTGGCAAATTGAGACTCGAGATTCATTTGGGACGCAAAGGCAAACCCGTCCCTCTTCCCAGGAATCCTCTGTAGGTGCCAGCGATGGCCAGAATGGAGCCTTCCAAATCAGAATAAACAGCCATTTCCCATGATTTAGGAATTCTGCTGGGACATCTTAAAAGCATCTTGGCCTTCTTTTGCAGCCACATTGCAATCAGTTACTAAGATCTGTTTCATAAGTTTTTGCCAAGCCATTTTATCTCGAGTGAAGGGATATATTTAATTCCTAAATTCCATGAACTCCACACTGCAAAGGCCTCTCTCTTTCCAGGACATGAAGCTCGCGAGTGCATTGATATCCACAATGATGAGAACAAAGCCTACACTTTTGCTTTCCGAGACGCTTCCCGTTTTTCAGAGGGGCGAATCAACAGCCTCACCGTGCAGCCCATGGAAGGGGTAGTGCTGCCTCATTCCAGGTGAAGGAGAGGGAATTGGGTGCCAAATGGGGTAAGCAGTCCCCCAGGATGAGGCTTGATGTGGCTTTGAGATAGCTTAATAGATGTTTGTGTGGCTTATAGCAGGGATGAACAAGGGGACATGGGATAAACTGGGACTGTTGTGGAGGGCTGAACCAATGTAACTTGGTTTGATGTCCTCAAACTCCATCAGGCTGCTCCAGGTGAGCGCTGCGCAGGTGCAGAAAAGCACTTCCTCTCCTCGCTCTCCCTCAGCTGCCAGCTGACTGAAGGAACACCCGGCGACTGTGCAGAGTTGGACCCAACTCGGCTTCTTCTCCTGCCTCCTGTGGCACATTTATTTACATTGGATTTCTCATTTCTGATTGACTTCACGTGGGCTGGGCACTGTGGGAAGGAACAGCCAAACCGTCAGATGTGGCCAAGGGGGCTGTAGAGTGCCTAGTCTGGCTTGCACAATGGATGGATGGATGGATAGGAAGAAGATAGTTTAAGAGACTGACTGTGGGGGCCCTCAAATGTATCATACTCACTGCTGTTTTTATTTCTGGTTTTGTTATTTTTTGGTCTCTCTTAACCTGATGTAGCCTCCCAGAATTGCAATTTGCAAATTGATGGCCATAAAAATTGATTAACTAAATGTACAAAAATAGAAAGACAGGTAGTCCTCAGCTTACAACAGTTCATTTAGTGATTGTTTGAACTTACAACATTGAAAAAAGTGACTTATGACCGTTTTTCACACTTATGACTGTTGCGGCATCCCCATGGTCACATGATCACAATTCAGACACTTGGCAACTGACTCATATTTATGATGGCTGCAGGGTGCCAAGATGTTGTGATCCCCTTTTGCGACCTCATGACTAGCAAAGTCAAAGGGGAAGCAAGTTTCACTTAACAACTGTGTTACTAATTTAACAATTGCAATGATTCACTTAATAACTGTGACAAGAAAGGTCATAAAATGGGGCAAAATTCACTTAACAAATGTCTCACTTAGCAACAAAAATTGGGGGCTCAATTGTGGTTGTAAACTGAGGACTACCTGTATTTCTCTTTTAAAAAATGTTTTACAGGGTTTTTTTGCTGAGGCTTTCCTATTTTATTTTTTTAGGGTCCTTGAATGTAACTATTGTACACATCATTAAATGAAATTCTTTCATTTCTTGAATTCTGACTTTGTACAGAAATAAACAGCCACCCTGCTATCAACAGCAGATCTGGATAAGTCCATTTTTTACTGGAAGTTGCTCAGGAACCAGAGACCAGCATTTTAAAAATTTGGCATTTACTTATTAATTTATTAATTAATTTTATTTATTTAATTCATTCGTCCAATTTATATGGCTGCTTATCTCACCCTACCTGGGTTGCTAACAATAATTAAAACAGTGTAAAAACACCAAAGAATAAAGAACCAACAGGAGGCACATCATGTGCAGCCAAGGCAGAAGCCCAGAAATCAGCCCAATCACTGCCTGGGCACCCAGATCTCAGGCCCAGAGAGCCAACTCAACCCAGCAAATGTGTTTTCTCACCAGATTCCCTGTTCACATCTACTTCACACCAACCTTGGAAGGGGAAGTGAATTTTAACCTCATCTGTGATGTCAAGAAGAAAAGCCAGCCACTCTATCTGAATATCAAAGCCATTGGCCACACCATGAATGTGTCTGTGAAGTGTGAAGAAAGCCACGGGGTGGTGACTGAGCTGAACCCAGAGCATCCAAAGCAGATCCACTTCCGTGAGGTGAGAGGACCATGAGCAGAGCAAGCCTGGCCTGAACATATATGCGGGAAGCTGGCTACTAGCCCTTCTTCTTTGTTGTGCTTCGCTTCATTGCTTCCTACTCAGCATCTTCAGTTCTGTAAGAGAAAAGGATCATCTGCATGTCTCCTGGCCAATTCAATCCTCCCCCCCCACCCCCAAGAATCTCTTTCTTCCTTTACCCTGTGGATTAGAAGGTTATGTTTCAGTGATTTTATAAGCTGTCAGTCATGGCCATCCCAAAAGGTAGCCCAGAGTCTTCTGCTCCCCCTTGAAGGATCAGACCAGGATCTGAACTCCTTGGAAGCTAAGGAGTTGGGCTTTCATAATTCTTTGTTTCAGGAGCCTGCCACATTTCAGGAGCACATTTGGAATTTTATCTTTTTTCCAAATCGATGAACAGGTCCACCAAAAGTACACAACCATAACTGTCCATCATTGATATTTTGTAAGAAAAAGTCAATTTTTAAAGAAAATCTGGGGCCTGAAATAACTTTTGGTACCAGAGGCTGGCACTTAATATTGCCAAAAATGTCAGCTTTTCTGTAGGTCTTTGTGTTTGTGATGGTGGTGGATGCTGAAGAAAGGTGCAATGGCTGCCTTGGGTACCACAGGGACCATTCCTTCCTTACCTGACAGAAATCTAGAAAGGATTTTTCTGTATGATTGTTTCTACTATTAAACCCAACTTGGTCTGGAGTCTAATTACATTCTGGGGTGTCCCCTCTCCTTCCATCCTGCTGGGATTGTGGTGGAAGGTGGGACAGCATGTGGAGGAATGGGAGATGGGAGAGGGTGGGGTGCAGATTCTGAGAGCCTCACGAAATATGGCATTTCACAAGAACATCCCTGGAGGGCGGAGGCAGAAGTGCTGAGCTTTCGATACCTGAGGGGCTGCACTGGACTTCCCTCCACGGGAACCCAAACCACAGACTCCCTGGACTTTCCTGTGGGGCCACTTTCTCTCTGGGTGTGGAGCATCCTTTCATTCTCGGGGCCTGTGGCTGGGAGCTGCTGTACCATGAAGTCTGGCCAGGTGCTGATGTGCAGTGAGGAGGCCCACCTGCCTTGGAAGACAAGGGGGCGGAGGAGGGAATGCAAGGCAGGGCCGGCTTTGAGGAGAGGCTTGCAGACCTGGCTTGGAATTCCAGTTGGAGGGAGGGGAGGAAGCGACTGACTGCCTTCTCTCTGCTCTGGACAGATGCAAGTCAACGATTACGCAGAGTGCAACTTCTCCATCCTCAACACCGGCAAATTCAACTTCACCTTTTCCTGGGAGTTCTGCAAGGCCAAGAAGTTCTGGCAGTATTTTGCCCTCTCCCCAGAGAGTGGCGCTGTGGAGGCTGGAGAGCGGGTGGAGGCCAAGCTCTCCTTCCACCCGCTGAAGGCCTTCACCTTAAAGGACATTGAACTCAAGCTGCAGGTAGGAACGTAGGGGCCCTGTTTGCCGGAAGGCTTCCATTGCCCATTGCTGTATCATGAAGCCCTGGATGTCTAGCACCAGTTCCAGGTGGGGGAATCTAGCTCAAGGAGGAAGGAAGCACTCTCAGCCAGCAGGAGTACTGGCTGGAGCAGGAGGACAGCCATTTATGCTGCTAGATCCAACTTTGCTGCTGAATGACCAGGTCACAGGGCTCTTATGGGGAAAAGAGGAGCAGAAAGGAGCAGGGTAGGTTGTATATGAAAGCAGCAGCCTTGTGTTGTATATGAAAAAGAAGAAGGTATAAAAATATGGGGGGAAAACCCCTAGCTGAAGTCTCTTTCTGGGGAAACTGTATCTAGACATGGTCCCAGGCTTATCCTCCTTTACTCAACCCCATTGGTCTTTAATGAGACTTGCTCCCAGCTAAATCCAACTGTTTTTTTTTAATATATTCCTATTCTGCAGTTATTGCATTCAAAGTGAACTTACATCAACATAACAATTACATCCTTTACATGCTCACTTATGGACATACTGGGTCCCTCTGTGATTTTGGGATACCAAGAAGATGCCATGGAGAAAAAGTGGCTTATAAAATAGTAATGTTTGACTGCAACAACTATGAAATAAATGAGCTTTTGGCAGTCTCCTAGCTAGTTTCCTGCAGCAAAACCACATTTGTGGCTCTGTTGCAGTGGTGAAATGTAAAATTTGTTACTACCAGTTCTGTGGGCGTGGCGTGGTGGTGGGGGTAATGTGACTGGGTGGGCGTGGCCAACTTTTTTTTTTCTTACTTTTAAAAGCATTTTTACTACAACCTTGTAGAAAAAAATGCTTTTAAAGGCCCTGACGATCCCAGCTGAGTGCTTTTAAAAATAAAATTTAAAAAAAGTCTCTGATGATTGTGCGGCTCAGCTGGGCATGAGGGGTGGAAGGATTTCTGCTACCGGTTCTCCGAACCACCCACCGCCATCGCTACTGGATTGGGCGATCCGGTCTGAACCAGGAGCATTTCATCCCTGCTCTGTTGTTTGTGGTGTTGCAGTGGCCAAGCCTTGCAGCAAGTCTCTGTCTCTTTGGAGAAATCAGCCAGCCACAACCAGCTGCTCTTTCTTCAGATGCCCACAATGTCCCACTCATTGATGGGATAATTTCTGCACACGTCCAACAAACACCCCTGTAAGGATTGCCTCTCCTTCCAACTTAAGAAAGCACGAACTCTTGAAACCTGGTTGTTCAAAAGGATTCCTTTCTTAAGCAGAAGTGAAAGCCATTGTCAAGCCCGGCGTTAGTTAAAGCACAATCTGAATACCCTTAGGCAAGACAAGTAGGATTAAAGCAGTAGAGACCCCTCCCTTTAAGTCAGAATGCAGATTTTAGCCAATACACGTGTGAAGATGTTTTCTTTCCTAGCTTCCCTGAGAACCCGAACAAACATGCATTCCCACTGTTATCCTTTAAAGTGAAACAGCCCACATGGCTATCATAAAAATTCCTCCAGGTAAAGAGGATCTCAGGGCTCTATGGCACCAGGATATGGGTTGTAAAATATCTCTTGACACAGGCAATACTAATAAATCTAATCCAAGTCTCCCCCGTCCTCCAGTTGTATGGCAGTATCACTTTTAGGGATCTGACAACCCCATTGTTTCAGATACCTCTGATTCTGGAATATCAACCATTGATCTGAGGGTGACTTATCTTTTAACAAAGAAGTGATGGGAACAATTGGCTCGGAAATAACTGATCTAAAACTTATCAGATGAACTTTAAATCTCATACATCTTGGTTTACCCAGAGATCAAACGTTCTCATAACATTACATGTTAATAGGCCTGCAAATGTAAGAATATCTGATCACTCTTAATAGAATCCTTTCCATTGCCTGCACCTTTTACGTTTCTAGTGTTACTAACCTCACTGTGTACGTGTTTTGTTCAATTTCTCAACGTATCTGTTAAAATAAAATATGTTGAATTAATTAATGAAATCTAGTGCAGAACAGTCTGCAATGGAAGTATAATATTCATAAACTGTCACTGATGGTAAAGTAAATGATAAAGCCCCTTTGAAGAAGGCCAGGTTCTCTGCTCTGCTGAGACCGTGTCTTCCTTCTTTCATAGATAAGCCATGGCCCCACATTTACATGTGTTTTGCGAGGCTCAGTGTTGGCTCCCAGCATCCATTTCTCATCCCTCAGAGTGGACTTTGGCAACTGTTTTATCTACCAAGCTGGGATGCCCATTTCCAAGAGAATCTTGGTGATCACTAATAAAGACAGCAGGAAAGCCAGGTGAGTTGCAGCCTCATGAGGTGAGAACTGGTGGTTTGGAGCAGTAGGTTGATGTGTGAGGAGAATGCATATCAAGGATGAACTCAGAACTCACTCACTCCCATCCATCTGTCCATCGACATTCCCAAACAAACACAAAATGATTTTATTGCAAAGGATTACATCTGTAATCCATGTATTAAAAGTTCTCCACATAACAACATCCAGGAATCCTTCCATCTCAAGGTTTGGGCCCTCTGTCAGCTTTTTCCCCCTTGAAGCTCTTATTTCCCAAATGGCACCTTGGGGCCCAAATCCATTGGCTGCACTGGCTTCTGCTCTTGTGTCGCAAGAGCCCTGGAGGTGCCAGGAACTTGCAAGACACCTGGGATTAAATGCTGGTTTATTTAGATTTTTTAGTTTTGGAAACTCTGATGGCAACACAAGTCAGGTGTTCCCAATACAATTTGCAAAGCCAATTAACCATCTTCTTCTCATCTCTTCAAAGTGTGGAGTGCTTGTTCACCAACACAGCCTACCTTGAGATCGGTTTCCGTTCTGAAGCTCTAAGTCCTGGAGAAAAGGTGGAGATTCCCATCAGCTTCTATCCCCGAGAAGCCATTTCCTACCATGAAATCATCACCTTTGAAATAAATGGGATCTTACAGCGGACTGTAGAGCTCTTTGGGAAGGGCATTGAGATGAAGGTGAGATTAGGCAGGCTTTTAGAAGAAAAGGGAGATAGAGGATGAGATTTGGGGTTCACAACCTGCTGCTCAGGGTGCTTCTGTGGACGAGGGGTTTCAGCACCTCCTGCCTGGTTGCTCCTGCAGCTTTGAGAAGTCTGAATTGAAAGCAAGGAGCTAGGTTTTTAGGAGCTGCTCCTTACCCTCACTGTAGTCACCTAAAGATAAGGTGTGTGTGTGTGTGTGTGTGTGTCTGCTAAAGGGTCCTGATCTTCTATGCACACAACTGAAAAGAACTTGCACATTCATGAAAGTGGAGCTTGAATTTTTTTTTTAAAGATTTGCTGATATTGTGCTGTGATGTTTCCAAAAAAAAAAGGAAGGAAGAAGGAAAGGAAAGGAGAAAGAAAGAGAGAGAGAGAGAGAGAGAGAGAGAAGGAAGGAAGGAAGGAAGGAAGGAAGGAAGGAAGGAAGGAAAAAGAAAGAAAGAAAGAAAGAAAGAAAGAAAGAAAGAAAGAAAGAAAGAAAGAAAGAAAGAAAGAGCTGGATCAAATCAGCACATCAGGACCCCACCCTGACTGTAACAGGCAGCGGCCCAGGGCAGGACCCCATTGAGCCGTTCCCTCCCTGGTTCAGCCCTCTGATCTCCTCCCCCTTCTTTCTCCTCCCCCGTCTGTTTCCTACCCATAGATAGATGTTGTGGAGCCTCCCCAGAAAGTGCTGAAATTCGGAGCTGTCCCTCCAGGACACGTTGTGAAGAAGGGAGTCACACTAGTAAACAACAGTGTCCTCTTTGTCGTGTTCAGTCTAAGTTTTGTGGCTTCCATCCCGGAGTTGCAGGAAGCAAAGGTAGGAATTGTCCCTTCTGAGATGGTGCCCGGGAGGGCCTCAGCAGGGTGAGCGGCCGGTGGGCACTCCTGCCTCAGGGGATTCAAGAGGCTATTCCTGCCCTCCAACTTCAGACATTGCCAAGAAATAGAGGCTCCTGGGTGAAGGGCATCATATGGCACGGAGCACAGGCCTTCCTGGAGCCTGGGTTCTCCCCTCCTTTCAAGCACGGCAGGGAAGGGGCTTTTCATTTGGGTGGCCAACAAGAGAGAGTGCCCAGGGGCAGAGGCAGAGCTGAAGACCAAGAGGCACAGGCTGTGGGTGAGTCCAGCCGGGGAAGCAGTGGCCAAGTTACTAGTGCAGCTTGATTGGAAGCAGCTTCCTGAGAAAGCTGGGCTGCCCTGCTGACCTCTCCTGCTTGCTGCTGCCATTCTTGACTTTGGTAGAACGGAGGGTGGGCCTCCCATGGGATAAAAATCTGCAGGTAAAGTTCTACTTTCTGTGAGGAAAGGAGGAGGAGCAGAATGCTGGTTAAGCAGTGCACGGTGGGCTCCTGGTCTCTGGGGCAACAGCAGAGCCCAAACTCGGAACTTGTTTGGAGCCAGGCCATTGTCCAGCTATCTCTCCCACTGAAAACATCTCTCCAGTTGAACATCTGCCTGTCCTGCAGTCCTGCTGGATACAAGATTGGCCAGTTGGGACTCTTTGCAGGAGAGGAGCATCCTGCATCAGGTAGGACTTTTCCACTGGGTGTCTTTGGACAGGTGCTCACTATGTCTCCCAGTGGTGAAATTACCTTGAAGCCCCAGGGGGGCACCTGTCACGTGGAGGTGACATTCAGTCCGAAGAGCCGCATCCTGCCCTTCTCCGAGGAGGTTCTGCTCGAATGCCAGGGGGTCCTGCACTCCCTCTTCATTGTGCAAGGCTGCTGCCAGGGCATTGAAGTCCACCTGGACCAGGATCACATCCCTTTTGGAGCTGTGGTGCTGCGGAGCCAGGCTTCTCGGCGCATTGTGATGCAGAACTCTGGAGATCTCGGAGTGGGGTAAGCCAGCCAGCCCTATCAGGGAGCTTCTTCACTGGCTCTTGTGCCCCTCCTGGCCTAGAATGGAACATTGAGGCACTGACCATTGGCCACGCCCCCAGGCAACTGCCTCAGCCAATTCACAGCCAGCTTTCCCCTTCCACTGGCCCTCCCCTGGCTATTCTCCACGGCCGACGGGCCCCTGGCCCTCCGCCCTTGCCCTTTGTCCCTGCCCATTTGCCCAGACACCATTTGACCCAGGCATTTTGCTGCATGGGACCAATAACTCATAGCCAACTGCAGGCAGAAGCATTGGTGATGCACGGGCAGTGCGTGATTGGCGATAGGCAGGATGATCACAGGGGCTGTTTTATTTTTATTTATTTATTTATTAAATTTTTATACCGCCCCCTCTCCCGAAGGACTCGGGGTGGTGAACAGCCAGAATTAAAAACACACAATACAAATATTAAAATACATTAAAACGAAATTAAATTATCTTTGGCTTCTCCAATTTAAAACCCCTTACCCATAAAATTCCCCAATTAAAAAATTTTTAACCCAGCCCGGCTTGCTGAAATAAAAAAGTCTTCAGGGCCCGGCGGAAGGTCGGGCAGCGTGTAATGCAAATTTTTTTAAAGGGGCTACACTTTCTGACCAATTGGATGGCTCCAGAGCATGGTTCTGGCAGGTCATGCAGAGGAGGCCAGGGGCCGAGTTTTAAAAAGAAAGTGTCAGAAATGGCAAAGCTGCAGCGTGAAAGCATCCCGCTGCTGGGAGCTGTGCAGATCTGTCACCAGTTCTGGAGGGGACAGAAGGGGAGGCGGAAGTAGTAGCCACTGCGGAGGCAGACAGGCAAGAGTGTGTTGGGGGAGCACCAGGAAGGGAGGGAAGGGCATTTCTAGGGGATGTTGCAGAGATGACAGGAAACAAAAGGGGGGAGGAGGAGCCCCAGCCCTTAGGAGTTCAATTGTGTGTGTGTGTGTGTGTTTCCGTAGTGTTACCTGCATGTGTAAGTGTGAATAGAGTACGGAGACTCCACAGTAGGGATGGATTTGGGGCTCTACAGTTTGCGGGCTCTTCTGATATGCTAAAAGGGTCCCGGAGTCAGCGTTCCAAGTAATGCACCCATTGAAAGTAGAACTCCAAGGCAGGTCGATTTATCAAAGAACAATTTATTGGATACATCATATTGGCACAACTGGTGAAAACTGACTCTGAAAGTTCCCATGGTTTTCACCTAATTAAAAAGTGAAAATTTTCCCCTTCCCTCAAATCATCAATCACATTGTCCAATAGAGGTGCTGGCCAGTTGCTCGGTTACTTCACTCCTCCTCTCCCAGCCACCTGTTGGAGTGACCTTGGTTCCCAGAAGAAAACTTTTTGCTTTGACTATTTAACTATTCCCTAGTTAACTATGCCCCAGTTAACTATTCCCCCTCCCTGTCCTCTCCCTTGTGGCAACCCTGAAGTCACAAAGATGGCCTCAGCCAGGTTTGCTTCAGGGTTGACAGTCAGACCTTTCCCCTTAACTCGTGAGGTACTCCTGAAAGAGAAAGAAAACCAAATTGAGGTTAATTAGTGTTCAATCCACCACCTCTCCTCCCCCTGGAGGCCCCTTTGGCTATTAAGGGTACTTTTTGCTAAACTGCCTGACTAGTCTGTCTGCCTTTACATCCCAGGTTTTCACCCACGTGGTTTTGGAACATGAGTATCCTTTCCACTGTATTAAGTATTGCAACCTCCCCCTGTGCAATCTGGAATCCCCATGCCCTAGGGAGCTCGGGCATGGGGACAAGTTCCATGCCACTAGTGACTTGGAAAGGGGTTCGCCCGGTGCTACTGTGCATTGCGTTTTTGTATGCCACCTTGGCAAAAGGCAGCAGTTCTGCCCAATTGGTCTGTTCAAGTTTACATAGCATCTTAAATATTGCTCAACCATGGCATTCATGGCCCCGTTAGTGCTCAGATGAAAGGCTGAGCTAAGTCCCTGTGAGGACCCAGTGGATTTTATGAACTCCCTGCAGAATTTAGCTGTGAACTGGACCCTTCTATCAGAGATTATCCTACGAGGAATGCCATGGAGCCTATAGATGTGCTTTATAAATAGTTTGGCTAGCTTATGGGCTGACAAGATTGCTATAAGGTTTATAAATTTTGCTTACTTCCCGTGGATCCTAACATATCAATACAGTTAGTGATCCCTACTAGTTATGTTAAATATTTGGGACTTTATATAGCTTGGCCAAAAGTACTTCTAGATATGTAGAAATAAATATTTTAAAGCTTTAAGGAAATATTGAATTGTATGGGTTAAATTACTTACTCAAATTCTACCCTATTGTAAGATAAAATTAATGTCATTAAAACAAATATTGCCCATAGCAAATAATGGGTTCACTTAATGACCGTTACGTTTGATTGCCATATTTCCTTAATGACCACTGCAAAACAGGTTGTAAAAATGAGTGAGGTCACATGGTGAGCCACGTTATGACCATCAGGATTTACGACTGCAGTTGCCAGTCTTAATTACAGTCATACATCAATGACTACCTATAGATAAAAGATAGCAGATTCAAAAAGAGCTGCTAGATCGGTTTGAGTCAACGGCTAAAAGAGCAAATTTTTCTTGGAGTGCAAGAGACAAAATAATGAAGTAATTACTCCATGTTTTTCTGTCACAGTCAGCCACTATTCAGAGTCCTGGTTTTGGTCCTGGGTATGACATTTCCAAAAGACCAATGACAGACTGGAGCTACTTCAGTAGATTATCATGTTGAAGGATATGGAAACCAGGCTTTACAAGAAAAGAGCTGAAGAGCTTCCTTGAGCCTACAGATGATCATTCAGCTTTTGTAGACTTCTAATGAAGGAGAACTCACCATTTCATGTGGCCATCTCTTCCACTAGCTAACAGCTCCTATTGAAGAAATGGTGGAACAGAATCATTAAAGGAAGGATGCCAAAGGAGGGGGTGTAGCTGCCTGACCCAGGAACCTTCCTAGCAGGATAAGGCCCAAACTGTAGCAACCTCCACTGCTTGGTCCAGTTCAAAGGGGTAATGACCGGTGGCCAAGAGCATCGTGTTCTCTTTCCACCCTACCCCTGCCAGATGACCAGCTACAATGAAGACCTTTCCTCTTGCATGAGGTCTTGGGGTCTCTCGATGGCTGTCCTTTGCCCTACACAAATTTTGGGTTAGGTGGAATTCTTGCGTGATTTTTCAGAAATTGGTTAAAACACTATTTTCCTGAACATTGGGGAGGCTCAGCTTTTAGCCAGGGGATTGAATGGCTTCTGGTGTGTTATTTGATTGATTGTGGATTTGGAGTATGTAAATGTGAGTCTTTGAAAATTTCTGATTGGTGTGATACTTAGGAAGGAAGAGACACACATTTAGTTTTAACAAATGGAAACTGCAAGCCTTACATCATCCTAATGCAAGTTTGCCTGCTAGGCTACTCTAATTTTACTCTAGATCCTTGCACGACAGATGCTGGTGCCAAATTTGGTTAATCTCAACCAAGTTGAGAGCCCATCAATGCTTTCGCAAGAAGCCACCAGAAATCCCTGTTTTGCTAGAGTGGGGAATCTTGGGAGAGGGCAAATCACTTCCACAGGACTGTGGCATTGCTAGGAGCCATTCTCTTGCAGCTTTCTCTGCATCTGCCCTCTAATGCCACTTACTCTCCCCCCCCCCCGTTCCCAAGACTTGCTGGGGGGTGGGGGTGAAGAAGGCAGAGGAAGCTGGCTGGCTGAGGAATTCGGGGAGTCCACAACTCATAAAGTTGCCAAGTTTGGAGACCCCTGTCTTAAGCCATCCAGAGTTTCCTGAATGAGCACAACTCCTGAGGGGAACCATTTTCCTTTTCTTTCAAAGCTTCCGATGGGATATCAAACGCTTCAGACCAGACTTCTCCATCAAGCCTACAGAAGGTTACATTTCTCCAGGAACAAGTGTCCCCTTTGAAGTGACCTTCCACCCTTGTGAACAGAGTCAGGACATCTGCTATGAAAACCTCCCATGTCACATCCAAGGCGGAGAACCCGTGAGGCTCACACTGAGTGGATTGTGTGTGAGCGTCCCACCTGTCAAAGAGGTGACTGGTGGGGCACCTTGAGCTGGGAATACCTGGGCAAGAGCAAGAATGGTCCAAATCCAGTCTAAAGCGTAAATGGGCCACTCCTGGAACTTGAATGTAATGTAAGTCAAGTTACAGGAACCTTGGCAAAAGGAGCCATCAGAACAGAGATTAAAACAGAGATGGTTTCTCTCCATCTACTCTGTCTCTGATGCAGCCTCTTCACAGTCAAGATACTCACCTCATAGTCTATCTGCGTATCTCCAGCCTTCGATGTGGAGGGTGCCTCTGTGCCAGAGTTGGGAAGGTCCCGAGTCTGTAGCTGCAGTGGCCATAGGAGGGCTGGAGCCTTCTCAGTCTTTATTCCGTGTGGGGGCAAACTCATCAACTATTCTTCCTCCTTGAAGAGGAGGTGGTCAAGAAGGGGGATGTGGGTCAGGTAGTGTTGCTTTTGGTTTTAATAATACTGTACACACTCTCCAGAACAGGACATTGGAATGTGAAGATTTGTGCATTTGTTTATTACTCATTAGTCCCTGTTTCTCTCAAGATGGCATCGCCCCTTTGGTTCCTTCAATGATCAATCTTGAATTTTTAAAAAAGAGATGTGTTGAAAAGTGAAGAACGGGACTTGGCCTCAACTTGATTTTCAGCATTGCACCTGGGGCTCCACAGATTCCACAGGCCTGCTTAGAGGATAGAACTGGCAGGGGCTGCAAGTGTATCTCAAGCTGAGCTAAAGTAATTGAGATACCTACAGAAACAGGATGGGGTTGGAAGCCTTTTGAAGGCAGACTGCCTTCTGACTAGGCAGTCAGAAACAAACACTGCATAACTCCTTTATTGTTAGAGTATAAGAATTTTGAAAACCTGATAGAAATTCTCTCGATCCCCAAGTTGTGGCAATCTTGGGGTTTTTCCCTTGTTCCCTCTTGTTTAGCTGAGTCAATGTGAAGTTTATACGGCAGTTGCTGAATTTCTTTTCAAGGCAATCTCCTTCCCACTTACCCTGTTCTTTTTTTAAAAGTTTTTTATTCTTTAAAAACAAAGATAAAACATTCCATCTTTCCTTATGCAGTGTATTGTCTGGGTACAAACATCTCTGTGCAACATCGTTCCTCATTCATCATATCTTTCACATTCATGTTAACATTAATATTATAATATATTAAACATTTAAATATTGTAAAACTCTCCATTTTCTTCTTGGTATCTTTTAGTAATAATACCAAATTGACATCAAATATCATTATTTTCTTCATACATATACTAACAATTTTCATCTTATTTACCATATTTTTCAGAGTATAAGATGCATCGGAGTATAAGACGCACCTACCTTTTTTGTTTTTGTTTTTTATAAAAAAGTTTTTTTATTTTTTAGACAAACACACATACAAACATACAATATATTTTCTTTGAACAGAGTATTTGGCCGATTCACAAATTTAAACAGTGTTTAGTCATTTCAATTAAATTTACAATTTCTATATTTCCTTTTTGCCATATTTATTCATCTATTTTTTTAAAAAACCAATATTACCCTTCATCCTCATCTCTAATCTTAATCAAATTCAATTTTTCCCTTCTATTCTATATTATACCCCTTCCCATTGTCATCTATTTTTATATCCATCCTCACATTGGAGGATGGATTACATGTATGTAATGTATTACATACATTCTGTAATATTACAATTGTTTAATACAAATTCAACATTTTAATATAAATCAATTAGTTACATAACTATCTTTTTTTGTATATTAATCAATATGAACATGAATATTCCAATTATTTCCATGCAATCCAATTTCTTACAAATCAATTATATTTTCCAATAATAATATACCAAATAATTTTCCCTATATTCCTCCAAACCACAACTTAACCATTTCTGCTTTCAACACAATATACAATTAATAGTATCTCAATTACTACAATTCCCTAGTTAAATAGAGCTTTCCCCTTGTTACTCATTTTCACATCTTTAACTTTCCTAATAACCCAAAGTTTTGCCCATATAATCCTCCAAATCACAACTTAATCATTTCTACTTTCAACCCAATAACCCAACCCAACCCAATTAAAAATATTTCAATCGTTACAATTTCCCTAATTAAATTTAAAAATGTTCTAGCCGTTATCCAAGCTACAACTTAATCCTGTTTACTTTCACCACCATATACCATTAAAGGTATTTCAATTATTAGTTTATACTTATTCATATTTCTAAAAAAATAAAAAACATAAAAACATCGTCTAGATTTCAAAAATACAAATATTCCAATTATTATTCATTTCATTTTTACAATCATGATTTCCCATTTATTTCTTACTACCATTCATATTTCAATTCTAATATGTATAACATCTCTTTCATTTCTTTTTCTTTTTCTCCCTTCTCATTTTTATTTTTGCCTTTTTCTTTTTTTCTTTTGTGTTTTAAAATCTTGAACTCTTTTGTCCTAAATTTCCCATTGTTTGCACCTACCTTTTTTGCTGAGGAAAAAGAAGAAAAAGAAATCTTCCTCTGCCTCTGCCTAATTTTGCAACCTTGCAGCAAACAGCCTGCTTTACTTTCGTTTTCGTTTTCAGCATAGTTTGATTAGCACAAGGAAAAAAAATAAATCTGCTGCAGCAATTTACCTCTTTGCAGCAAGCAGCAGAGCCCTGTGCAAAACAGCTGAGAGTAAATCAGCTGAGAGTTGGGAGGCCGATCCAATCAACTTGTGCTAATTAGGCTGTGCTGAAGCTGAAAGGAGATGTTTTTTTCTTGCTGTTTGCTTGCAAGGAAGTAACTGCTGTGAGGACAGGCCAAAGGGTGGGGGCCAGTGGATGGGCGGGGCTACATTCGGTGTATAAGATGCATCTAAATTTTCACCCCCTTTCAGGGGGGAAAAGGTGCGTCTTATACGCCAAAAAATACAGTATATCTCTATCTTAATATATTTTCTACTTATTTTTGGTCTTTTTCATTTCCAAAGTCCATTTTTATTCCCCTACCATTGATAAAATACTTCCCATATCACATATTCAGTTTGCTCTTTCTCCTTAATTACTAACATTAATATGTTCATTTCTGCACATTCTAATATTCTCCTTATCACCTTCTCTTAAATGGGAATATCTCCACTTTTCCAGTGTTGTGCAAATACAATTCTAGCTGTAATTATATATACATTCTCTTTACTATAAGTTTCCAGTAAAAGTCCTAACAGAAATATTTCTGGTTTCAACTCAAGACGTTGTTGTATCATCTCTTCCAATCATGTCTTAATTTTTGTCCACTATTTCTTTGCTCCTTCACAAGTCCACCACATATGATAGTAAGATCCAGGTAGCTGGTGACACTTCCAACATTTAGCTCGTTTATCTTTAAACATCTTTGCCAACTTCGCCGGTGGTAAATGCCATCTGTAAAATATCTTATACAAATTCTCTTTATATGCAGTTGACATTGTTAATTTATAATACCTATCCCACAATTTCTGCCATTTATCTAATTCTATCATATAATCAAAGTTTTTCGCCCATGCTATCAGTCTTTTACTTGCTCCTCTTCCAAAATTCCAAAATGTCTGAGTAGAATGAATATTGGCTTGGATGCAGTTCTTGCCAAACATCTTGAATAGCTAATTCTTCCACTATTCTCGAAAAGGCTTTAGGAAGTGCTTTCCTTGCTTTTTTATTTACTTTTCTAGTTTTATAGTTCTTTTCTGCATCCACAATTGCATTAAAATCTCCTAGAATGCAAATGTTTTCATACTCAAGTTCTGTTATTTTATTATGAAGTTTTCATAATACATCCACAATTGCATTAAAATCTCCTAGAATGGCAAATGTTTTCATACTCAAGTTCTGTTATTTTATTATGAAGTTTTCTATAAAAATCCTCTTGGTTGATGTTTGGTGCGTATATTGGTACCAAAAGTATGTTTGTTATTCATCTTTATTTCCACCATCAAGATTTTGCCTTCCTCATCTGTAAAAACTTGTTTAGCGTTTATTGTTTCTTTTATATATAAGGCTATTCCTCTTTTCTTTTGTAGTGATAAAGCAGTATAACTTCCCAAGTTTAGGGTATTTTAATACTTTCTTGTTTTTTTATGTGTACTTCTTACGAACAAATTATGTACAATTTTATCTAGTCTATGGAAAATCCTTTTCCTTTTTATTACTGAATTCAGTCCATTTATATTGATTGACATTAATTTTAAGTTCTTCTTCCATAGTTATTTGTAGATAGGTTTTGTTGTTCTAGTCGTTCTTATCTCTCTTGGTTCTTTTGCTCTTGCTCCCTCTCTTATCGCTATTTCTCCTGGTCCCTTTCACCTTTTTTTTTTTTCATGCTCTTCTCTTCCATCCCTTCTTCTCGTCATCTTGGCTCTGCTTTGTCACTTATTCTCATTTCCTCTTGCATTCCAAAATATTGCTCATAAAATTGCTCTGCTTTCTCTTTGGAGTCCAGTCTATGTCTTTGCTCCATCCAGGTCACCAATATTCCCTCCGGAATCAATCATCTGAAGTTTACCCCATGCTTGTCTTGTTAAAAACTGGTATTCTCTCCTTATTTCTCTTACTCTTCTCAGAACCTGTTTTAATACTACAATTTCCTTCTCCTTGTATTTTAAAGGTTCGCCTCTCACTCTTTGTAAAACTTCTGCCTTCATTGCTTTTTTTGTAAATCTCACATGGACTTCTCTAGGAGGTTTATGTCTTGCCGCATATCTGGTATTGATTCTGAATATAATATTTGCCAATATTTTTTCTTTATCCACCTCTAGGGCTCCTGTAACTCTGCCATTATTTCCACTAGATTTTCTCCTTTTTCTTCCTCTATGTTCTGAAATCACAAATAATAGTCAGCCCGGTCCATTTCCAGTGAAATTATTATTCTCTTTTATTTTTATCTGCCAATGTAAGTCTATCATCAACTTCATACACTTTCTTCTCTACGTATTCAGCTTTTTCTTCTACTTTCTGTATACGTTGTTCATTATTTATCATTTGTTGAACTTTCTCTAGTTTATCTTCTACTTTCTCTAGTCTGTCATCTACTTTCCCTATTTTTTCTTTAACTTCTTTGAAGTCATCATGCAGCGCTTGAATCATTTCTTTCAGTTCTGACTAACCCTAACCCCACTTACCCTCTTGTATGTCAGTTTTTCTCTTTGATGGCAGCCATTGTGTGAGTCTGCTCCTAGCATGCCATCAGTATTGTATCCATTTTGGCAGAAGTGCTTCTACTTTGGATCTACATGACAATTTTCCGAAAGGTCATACGTTAGATGAAATGCATGAGCATGAAATTGATCAATTACCAGAAGACCTGAAGATAATAGCAGCTCACAAATCTGAGGGGAGGGGGAGATTTTTTAAAAACACCTATAAGAATCTAGTGCAGAGATGGGAAGGTGACCATCTCTGGATCACTCTGACTCCTTTTTTTCTTGATATCTTCAGAGGGGAGGTCCTCTCCATCATCCTCTTATTTTGGGCCAATGATTTGTCTGGTGAGGTTTTTAAGGAAGGAAAGGTCTGCACTTCTTAGCAAACCATCCATGCATGTTAAGTCCCCCAACAGTGGAGTGAATGAAGAGAAGGGATTCTTCCTTGTAAATAAAATTCAGAAATATTTTAAGTGCTTGTCTTTTAGTAAAAGTGACTTTAAAATTTGTCAGACTCCTCCTGACTACCATAAACTAACATGGCTCTTCCACAATTTCTTACAGGTGGTGAATTTCATATGCCAGGTGCGTGGAAAGCAGACACAGACCATCATGCTATCCAACAAGACTAACCAACCATGGATGTTGCGGCCCATTATTGAAGGAGAGCAGTGGAAAGGGCCAGAGTATGTCAGGGTGGAAGCCCACCAGCAGAACAAACCCTATGAAGTCACATACAGGCCTCTGGCTATGAATGTAGAAAACAAGAAGGACCAGGTATCCCAGAAACAAACAGCAAAAGGAGGGGAAAGATGGGGGTGCTGGGGGCCTCAGAAACTGGGCTGGATTAGGGTTGTTGTATGCAAAGAGGGATCCTTGCATTTCTTTGTACATTCAATTGCCATTTTATTAGATCCACACTGCCCACAAAAGCCTGGAGCCTAATCAACCCTGTTCCTTTTGTGCATGAGCCCCATCCAAGCTAATTCTTGGCTTGAACAGAAAGTAATTCTGTGGTTGCTGCTACTACAGATGCTTCTTGTTCACCAGCAGCATTTTTGGCCTCTATATTTTTGTTGTGGTTCTTCAGTGCTGTTCAAGGTAGCTTGGATGGAAAGCTCACACCTCTTTCAAGTAGAGGGTGAACCACAAAAAGCTGAGAATTAATATGCAAAAAAGGCCAAATCAGTGGTGAAATGTAAAATTTGTTACTACCAGTTCTGTTGGCATGGCTTGGTGGGGGGGGGGTGTAATGTGACTGGGTGGGTGTGGCCAACTTTTTTTTTTTTTACTTTTAAAAGCATTTTTTCTACAACCTCTTCGGCCAAAGAGGTTGTAGAAAAAATGCTTTTAAAAGGCTCTGACGATCCCAGCTGAGCCACGAGGCTTTTTTTTTTACTTTTAAAAGCATTTTTTTGGCCGAAGAGGTTATAGAAAAAATGCTTTTAAAAGTAAAAAAAAAAGCCTCTGATGATCGCGCAGCTCAGCTGGGCATGGGGGGAGGGCGCGCAGGGATTTTTGCTACTGGTTCTGTGAACCACCCACTGCCATCGCTACCGTATCAGGCGATCCGGTCCGAACCGGGAGCATTTCACCCCTGGGCCAGATGTAGCGAAGGTAGAGAGGCTGAATCCAGGGCAAAGAACTTCCATGAGTGGCCCCCACAACAGCCCTTGGGATGGAAGGGGTTCCTGGCCCTTCTTAGGGTATCTCGCAAACTCTCCATGGCGGAAGGCCTGCAGTGTCTTGCCAGTTAGACTAGCTACTCTTTGGAGATCCCCGTGCTCTGATTTAGCCTTAGCTACCTAATAGTGTTTAAAGCAGTGGATTTGGATAGCTGCTTATGAGCAGGGTCACCCAGTTTTCTGCTGTCTGGCCCTAGTCCACCATGCTTGTCCTGGAGAAGCTTAATTGAGTCAACCGTTTGGAGAAGCAGCACATCACAGCTGCCTATCACATGATCAGAGAATGCTTGTCTTAGCTAGTTTGACTCTTCAGAACTCTTGCAAAAGCGGGATGAGAAAAATCGTTCTCCTAAAACTCTGCTGAGTAGCCTCAATCATGGGAGATGTGACCATCTCAGTTGGGGATGGCTTGGAACAGTGAAGAAATGTTGCCTAAAACGCTCCTCTTTTCTCCAGGGCTCCGTCTTCTTCCCCCTCCCAGATGGAACAGGGCTGCTTTATCTCCTGCAAGGCACTGCTGAGCCTCCCAAGTCAGCTGGGAATATCATGAGGGAAATTCCGTGCAAAACATCCTACACGGAACTGCTTCCCATCACCAACTGGTTGAACAAGCTGCAAAGGCAAATGTGAAAAAAGGGCTGGGCAGGGCTGGCAATTTCACTCCAGGCAGAGGAAGACCTGAGACAAAGGGGGGAGGAGGAGGAGGAGGCTGCAATCCCACAGGAGCCCACAAGTTTCAATGGGTGTTACAGTTTGCACCCCCAATTTTCCTTTGGTCGTTTGAGGCCCCCATTGTCCTCTCTAGCCATTGATGTGAGGTTCAAAGCAACAGGAAAGCTGTGTTTGTTGCCTTGAGTTATTTGTAAAAATAATGAAGGGGGATATAAATAAAATAAATAAATCCCTAAGAGCCCTAAAGTTAGCTTGTCTTATCTTGCCTGCTCTTGGGAGCTTCTGTGCCCCTTTGCAGAGAAAATATGTTGTTAGTGAAGCACTGTTAGAATAGAAAAAACTTTCCTGAGTGTCAATGAGTATGACTGCCTGTCTGGGTCAGAACTTGGAGACCCCATTCATGGGGAATGTAAGCAGATGGGCTGGATAATCCAAAAAGAAAGTCTCTCCTTGCTGACATTTGTTTGGAAGGAAGGTTACATCACAACAACTCCACCTCTCCTTTCAAATTCTGTAAGGCATCACTAGGATCTTTTCTCTCTTGTGAAAATAAGAATTTAAAGAACTGTTTATTAAATTTCATATAGTGCCCCCTCTACATGAAATTGCTGGGAAAGATTTTCTGAAATATATTTTGAAATTCAGGCCAACTACAAATAACTGGATAACAGATCCAATAAGGGTGACAATTTGAGCTGTAATCCAAGATACATGGATACATGTAATCCATGATACCATGTCCTTGGTTAATGACAGTAATCGGAGCCAGGAATTCCTTCATTAAGCAATGCACTTGGAAAGTGCAGCATCACGTGATCACACCAGCATTATGGGATCACCATTTGCAACCTCCTGCTGGCTTCTCCATTGATTTTGCTTGTTGGAAGATGGCAGCGAACGTTGCAAATGGCGATTGTGTGACTACAGGACACTGCAATTATTGTTAAGCACAAGCCAATTGCCAAGTGCCCAGTTCACAATCACATGACCACAGGTGTACTGGGAGAGCTGGAACATTGAGGACTATTCAGTGCCAACCTATCTATGAATGGTCACTGAGGGAGTGGTTGCTAAATAAGGCCTGCCTGTTCCCGGGTAGTTCAAAGGCAGTTGAGGGAACCCAGAGTCAACTTGTGCGCAGGGAGAAAATTCTGCTTATCCTGTCATTCAGGGTCCAGGATTACATTCTGAGCCTATTGTTGCAATTGAGATATAATATTTTCTTAACTAGGTTTCTAATTATTTTAACAATCTGCATCACAATAATTCTGCTTTTTCTTTCTTGTTAATTGCCTTGAGCACCATTTTTAGCAGAAAGTTGGAGGATAAATTAGAGAACTGGTTCTATCAGTTCATCTGAAAACTGAAAAACTGGCAATTCTACAGAAGGGTAGCTCTGGTTGTTTTTATTTAGTAGAAAAAGCACAGGGGTGAAAAACTGGATGGGGTTGACCTTAGGCTGGGAACTGAATGGCTCCCTCTTCTGACTAGGTTTCGGGTAGCGGTTGACATGATAAAGCCAGAAAAACTGGAAGTCACAACCACCCTGAAAACTCTGGACTACATTGAAGTGCCAGCCTCCACCAAGAAGGACCACAAGCTCACCTTCTTCTCTTACAAAGAGGGCATGTACACCGCCAAGGTAAAGAGCCCCACTTGTGTCTGTGACCCCGGCAGCTTCTCAGGCTTTTTCTTGACCCAGAGCATCTCTGTATAAGGAGCAGCTCTTTGCTTGTCCTGTTGAACCTTTGGTACAATTTGATTCAGAAACTTCTGGTGACAATTATTTGGTCATTGCTTTTCACAAGAATATAAGAAGAAATATCCTGCCTTTTACACCTTTTTTTTTCTGTAGCCTGACCAAGCAGGACCGTTAAGAGAAAGTAGACTTCAGAATTGTTTCAGGGTTGCTCCCTGCCTTCCACTCAAAGGCCTCTCAGAGGCAGGCAGGAGGGTCAGCATGGATGCCAAAGGCCGTTCGTCTTCCATCTGCCCGTCCAACAGGACGACTAGGGCTGCTTGATTAGATCATTCTCAAGATTCTCCTGTCATTTCAGATCACCTTCCGCAATGAGATGACCCAGGAGTTTGTATTCTATCTGATCACGTTTAAGGCCACCCCGTGTGGCCCACTAGGCACCCTCGAGTTGACCACGGCTGTCCGGCAAAGCACCTCCTCCTCAGTCAAGGTGGAAAACCCGCTGCACTACCAGGTGTCCTTCAGTACGGACTGCAAGGTGCCAGACATCAACCTGCCTCCTCAGTTCATGGTCCCTGCTCAATCTGAGGTACAAGCCTGTCTCAGTAACCTGCCAGGCCCCAGAGTTTAGCAGACCCTCAGCACCTTTTATGCTGATCTCCTGCTTGCCTTTTATTTCCATTCTTTGAGAAACTTGAGTTTCCTTTCCTGGCTTTTGTTTGATCCTTTCCTCTTCCTTTCTTCGACCTCTTGCAGTGATATCATAGAAGCCTTACCTCTGAAGAAGGCCGAAGTATGCCCCCTCCCCAAGAAACCATTATTGGACACAATAATCCTGGACAATTTCTGTCCAGTGTTGAGAGGATGGTCAAGCAATGGTCCAGAGGAAGCAAATTATCTGAAGCCATTCTAGTCAGGTCTCAGGCCAACATATAGTAGAGACAGCACTGGTGAACTTTGGCAGTGCCCCAATAGTCTTTTATCTTTTCCTTGAAAATGTTTCTTGTTCCTTATATATTGAAAGAATTTTTTTTGTTATTCTTGACATTTGTTGCAAGTCTTAGTTCATTCTGAACCTTAAGCCTTCCTGACTCCTTCCTTGCAGATTCAGGCTATTTGCTGATATTCAGTTCTAGTTATCTTTCCCTTTTTTTATAGTTGTCCTTTTTGTCTCTGTTTGTCAGAAAGTTCTCGATGTAGCAGCTTTCTACTACCATCAGTCGCATTAACCTGCACGGGAGTGGGGAACACTCCTCACTTGGAAAGGAGGAGAAAGGTTGTTCTTGCTCGAAGACCCACAGGACAGGTGGAGAGAGGTGGATTCCAACTTCCCCTCACTTGTGGGCTGCAGGGCTTTGATGCTTTCCCCTTTTGTTTAACATCCACATGAAACTGATGGAAGAGATCCTGCATTGGTTCAGTGTCAATTATATGTCTTAGTCACAGACCATATTCTATGGTCATAATTTGAGGATTACCTGAATCTCTGAAGATTTCATGGAATAAGACCTGAGTTTGCTGCCCCCAAGTGCCTTTCTCCCTGGCCCCCCTTGCCACACTGAATTCTTGCACAGTGTCCCTCACAGGGCCAGCTAGCATCTTCTTAGGGCTCTACCTTTCATGCGCTACCTTTTCAGCATTCTTTTTTTTCTGTTCAAAAATGCTTCCCTGCTCCTCTGACCTTCAGTGAGCCCCCAGTGGAGGCCGCTGTGATCTTCTTGGAGGGAACAGCTCCTTTTCCCTGGTGGGCCCCTCTTAACCGACTGGGGGGGGGGGAGGAAATATGAGGCAGCAATATGGGTGGTTTTTGCTGCCCTTGCTGTGGCCTGCCATACTTCTCACGGTGGCGAGTTGCTGTATTAACACATTTTGGTGGACTTTCTCAACACAGCGTGGCCAACTAACCACCCAGCTAAATGATCAGAAAATGTGATTCTAATTCATTTGTTGGCTGTGAGGAGCTGCCTTTCTCTTCTAGGCGTTGCGGACGCAGAGCTCAGCTGGCTTTCCCTCCGTCCCTTTTGCAGCCCGGTTCTCTCCCGCTCTGTCCTGTGGCAGATGGGAGGGAGGGCCCGGGACCCGCTCCTCCTGGCCCCTTCACAGAGCCTTTTCCTTGGCAGGGAACGCTGGTCTTCGAGTTCCTGCCCATGAGGCCCGGGGAAACCAGCGGGCGCCTGGCCCTCAACAGCAGCGACCTGGGCTCTTTCCAGTACGACCTGATCCTGAAGGCCACGCCGGCCCGCCCAGAGAAGCCCCTCAGTTTCTCCGCCATGCTGGGCAGCAGCCAGAGCTTGGTGGCCAAGATCGTCAACTACACTCGCCAGAAGACCGAGTATTCCACCAAGGTGAGCGGGCGGGGGGGCTCTTGGCCGGCGCCCACCCCACCCCCCCCACCCAGCCGGGCGAAGGCCGACGCGCCTCTCCGCTCCCCCCGCAGATCGACAGCCCGGACTTCCAAGCCGAGAAGGTCATCAGCGCGCCCGCGGGCGCCCAGACGGGCACCGAGGTGGGCGTGGAGGTGACCTTCGAGCCGTGCCAGCTGGGCGAGGCCCGCGGGACGCTCCTGCTCTCGTCGGCGGCGGGCGGCGACTACCTGATCCCGCTGCGGGGCACGGCGCTGCCCCCCCGGCCGCAGGGCCCCGTGCAGATCCGGCTGGGCGGCAGCGCGGTGCTGCCCTTCAAGAACGTCTTCCTGCAGCCCACGGCCTTCAGCTACGCCGTGGACAGCGCCGCCTTCTCGGTGCGCGCCGCCGAGACCATCCGCCCCAAGAAGACGGCCACCATCTCCGTGGCCTTCGAGGGCGCCGGCGGCGGGAACAAGGCGCCGGCCACCGGCAAGCTGGTAGTCTCCTGCCCGCGCGCCGCCGGGCTGGCCTCGCCCGTCGCCTGGGTCTACTACCTGAGGGGGGTCCCGCCGGAGAAGTAGCGCCGCCTCCGCAATAAAGTTCCTTCTTCCCACAAAGGAAAGCGCGTCCGCCGCCTCTTTCGGGCCGGGGGGGGGGGCGGGGGGCTGGCGGGGGGCGGGGCTTTGGAGGGAATCGCGGCTGTTTCGCCCCGCGGGATAGGGTGACGTCACGAGGGGGCGGGAGGCGCTTTGGGGCTGCGGTTGCCCCGGAAGCAGCAGGCGCGGCGTCATGTGACAGCCAACATGGCCGCCGCCCGGTAGCCGGTGTCGCCACCGCCGCCGGCCGCGATGAACCCGGAGAAGGACTTCTCGCCGCTGACGCCCAGCATCGTGCGCGCCCTGAACGACAAGCTGTACGAGAAGCGGAAGGTGGCGGCGCTGGAGATCGAGAAGTGAGCGCGGGGCCGGGCGGGCTGGGGCCGGGGCGGCGGGCGGCGAGGCAGGCCCAGACTCGGCTCTCTCCTCTTGCAGGCTGGTGCGCGAGTTCGTGGCGCAGAACAGCGCGGCGCAGATCAAGCACGTGATCCAGACGCTCTCGGTGGAGTTTGCGCTCTCGCAGCATCCCCACAGCCGCAAAGGGGGGCTCATCGGCCTGGCCGCCTGCTCCATCGCCCTGGGCAAGGTGGGCGCAGCCGGGCCAGGGGCGGGCGGGCGGACGGGCCAGGCTTCGGCGCCCGGCATGCCACTGGGCTTGGGCTCCGAGGGCTCTGGAAGCCGGGCAGAAGAGCGGGCCCGGGAAGAAGGTTGCCATGTGGCTCTTTGCCAAGGCAGCCCCCCCCCCCCAGAGAGGGCTGAGGTGTGGGGAGTGAGCGGGATTTGAGATGTGCCCCCCCCTCCCGTCCTAGGAGAACCTTGGGTGGCTGAGGCCTTGCCCGCAGATAACTGGAGGGGCTCTGGGATGGGTGGCTAGATCTGCTCCCAGCCTGAGATCCGGACCGTGTGGCTGGGTCTGTGATGAAGTACCCCAGGCGAATGGAGTGATGTCTGAGGTGGCCTACGTGACAACTGTGACCTATAGTTAATTCCCACTTTTCCCTACGGGCCCCCATGGTCCAAAACGTCCACCAATCACGCATGTTCATTTTGTTGTGGGAAGCAGTCTGCAACACCAGGGCATCTGCTCAGTGTGTCCTATTAATTAATTAATTAAATTTTTATACCGCCCTTCTCCCGAAGGACTCAGGGCAGTGTACAGCCATATTAAAACAAACATATACCATAAAATTTAAAAACAATTTAAAATATATAAAATTTGGCCCTTATGTTAAAAACTACAAACATCCAATTAAAATTCATTTTCTAAGCCAGCCCGGCCTGTTGAAACAAAAGAGTCTTAAGGGCACGGCGAAAGGTACGTAGGTCGGGGATCATGCGAATCTCCGGGGGCAGTTCGTTCCAGAGGGCAGGTGCCCCCACAGAGAAGGCTCTCCCCCTGGGTGTCACCAGTTGACATTGCCTGGCTGATGGCACCCTGAGGAGTCCCTCTCTGTGGGAGCGTATTGGCCGGTGGGAGGCTATCGGTGGCAGAAGGCGATCTCGTACCTTGGGATGCCAGCAATGTCCCATGGTGCCAACGGAGCTTGAATACCATTCTGCCTCCCTTGCATTCCAACCATCCCACTCTCTGTTTTTGTCAAGCTGCAAGCAAAGAAATGTAGGTGAAAGTGTGGATACTTGACGTACCACCCCCCCAGAAGAAGGATAGACCTGAAACAATAGTAAACATATATACACATAATTACTTAAGCACCTACCACAGCAATCCCTATTGGGGCTGCTGAGGATATTTAGTGTGAAACTTCTTAACTAATCTTGCTGGCCTAACATCTGGAGCAGCCACCGACTCAGCGTCCGCTAACAGACAGCCTTTCCACAACACTAGATATTGTAGTTTTCCTTTGTGGTATCTGGAATTAAATATCCTTTTGACCTCATAATGTTCTTCTCCCCTAACTAGGATAGGAGGAGGAGGTACTTCTTTGACTAGTCTCAGTCCAGAGTTTCAAAAAGGTTTTAAAAGATTGCAATGAAATACTGGATGGACCTGCCTAAAGCTTTTTGGCAATCTCAACTCCACCGTCATCTGATTTACAATCTGGTTGATTGGAAAGGCCCTATATATTTGAGATCTAATTTTTTACAAGGTTGCCTCAGGTTCAGACATTTTGTGGACAAATACACCTTTATCCCCCACTCTAAATTCTCTCTGGAGGGCTCTTTTCCGATCTACATGCCTCTTGGCTCTCCCTAGTCTTATTCAACGCCTCACTCATGGTACCCCACATAGCTTTCAGACTATCCATTCGCTCAGCTAATGACACTTGAGGATCGTTGAGGGACACTTGAGGGAGCTCTGGAATGGGCACAAACTCAGTTCCTGTAGCCACCTTGAAAGGGGTAAAACCTGTGCACTGATAAAGTCCGTGGAGTGAAAAAGAAACATAGGTGAAAGTGCGAATCAATCTTGACACTGTATCTTTAGTTGCTGTGCCAAATCAGACAGTTATAGAGGTGCAATGACAGACTCAATAATTTCTCTGTAGAACTATATCAGCAACTCCTTTGGAAGCCTGAGCTTTCTGAGATGGTGCAGGAAGAACATTCTTTGTTGTGTTTTTTTGAGGACATTTTTGATGTTAGGTGTCCATTTCAAGTCCTGAGAGATTATAGAACCCAGAAGCTTGAAGGTCTCTACCAGTGATACTGTGTTGTCTAATATTGTAAGAGGTGATAAAATAGGGCTTCTCTTAAAATGTACTATCTTCTGTACAGTTTTGAGTGTTTTCAGTTCAAAATTGTTCCAGCTGCACCACAGGGCCACTTAAAGTAAAGTTAAAGATAGAAGTCTGCTTTGAGGCATCTGTTGGATTAAGTTGCTCAAATCTGCTCTAAATTGGAGCTATAAGGGATATCCCATCTACCCAAAGCACACTCTGGCTTGGTTACTTTGGGAGGAGTTTGAAATTGTTAGTACTGAGGAAGTAGACAAGTTCTCAGAATTGTAAGCTCAGCCATCTGACTGTTTGTCTCATGTTCTTCCTGAGTAGCCAAGATTTTCTTGAGACATGAGATTGGGCCCTGAGGCAGTGATGAATCCTTATTTGAGAAAAAGGAGAGTAGTTGTGCCCTCAGGAAACCATTGCAGGTCCCAACCTTGTTAGGCAACTTTTGTCTGTGTCCAACTTCCTTTTGAGAGAAAATTGTTGATAAAGTAGTCATGCTACAGCTTCAGAGAACTCTGAGAAAATGGATTATTAGTCTGTTATTATTGGCCTTCATATAGGATTACAAACAGTCATACTTATGGGAGCAGGATGGAAATGGCAATCCGTTTTTGCTCTCCTTAACTTCTCATTGGCCTTTGAAACCACTGATCATGATATCTGGACTGACTTGAGGACTTGTGGAGGGTTCTCTTCTTTCCTCTGGGATCAGGTCTAGTTGTTATTAATGGGGTGGGGAGAGATAAATCACAGCCTCTGATTTTGGAGGCGCCTCAGTGCTTAGTGTCCTTCCCATGCCTGTTTTAACATCTATATGAAACTGGTGGGTAAGATGTCACCCGTGTGCCTCATAGAAGTGATGCAATAGAGGTTCTGTCTTGATGTCTGAAGGCTGTGGAGAGCTGAATGGCACAGAACACGTGTGAGCACAACCATAACACAATTCAGGGCTTTGGGTTTTAGCATCTCCTCTAGCCAAGGGTTTTCCACCTCTTCCATCAATATTTCTCTACTGTGGTTATGTCTGCATAAGCCACTTGGTGAGAATGGATGGGTTGCACTACTCTGAATAGAACTGGTTCTCAATTTGAACGTCTCTTTGATCTGTAACTCCTGTTCAGGTGGCAGCCATGGCAGAAGACCTTTTGCACAGATTTGCCTTGTTGCCAATTGCACCCTGTCCTGCATCAGGAGGCCTTGTTCATAACTCATGCCTTGGTCACCTTCTCTCTGGGTTACTGCAATACACTATGTAGGGCTGCTCTTGAAGGCCAGTGAGTAGATCCATAATGCAGTGTCATAGGCAGTCATAAAAGCATCTTTATATGCTTTTCACAACTCAGCTTGGCAAGAACTCTGCTTCTGGTGCTGTTCACAGTGTTGATTGTTACCTCTAAAGCTCTTCACGCTACAGAGCCAGGTTATTAGGACCACTTCTCCTTGGTGGTTTCTACCCATACTACTCAATCCAGCATGCTGCAGGTCCTGTCAGTCAGAGAATGTTGTCTTGTGGTATTTGGGAAGTGTTATGTTTGCCCTTAGGAAGGCTGGGCATGGCGGTTGGAATGTGGTTGATATTTGTCTACATTAGTTTGTCTGGCTCTTTTGGTCTTCAAACTGAACCATGGTTTTGCAAACTTCTGGGCCCTTTGATTTCAGTCTGCAATTCTTATTTATTTATTACTGACATCTATCCACTACCCAGTTCACAGTCTATAAGTGGTTTACCACCCCCTTAAAAATGCCTACAAAAGTCACAGTTAAAAGAGGGAGAGAGTGTCCTACAGTCAGCATCCCCACCCACCCCAGTGTTGCCATCCACTCTTGGATCCCCGTGCCAGTGGTCAGAGCCAGGTTTTAGCATTCTTCTGGGAGGCTATCAGAGTAGGGGCAGGATGTTCCACCGCAGTGGAGAAGGCTGTCTTTCTAGACCCTGCCAGCTGAAATTTTTTAGTTGATGAGTCCATAACCTGCCTTTCCTGCTTGATCAGGAGGGATCAGTCAATGTAGTTGGAGCAAGATGGTTCCTCGGGTATCCTGGTCTTATACCATGAAGGTCTTTGAAGGTGATAACCTATACCTTGAATTGGACCCAGAAGCAATCTGGCACCCAACGCAGCTCATGTAACAGAAGTGTTACCTGCACAATCCTAGGGGTGGCCAGAATTGTCTGTACCACCACATTCTGCATCAGTTACAGCTTCCAGATACTCTTCAGGGTAGCTGCATGTAGAGTGCATTGACGTAGTTCCTACAGGAGATGAGTAGGGTATGAGAAGAGCTTCTCTAGGAAAAATCACAACTGGTGCACAACACAAAATTGAGCAAAGGCTTTCCTA